GCTCCATTTTTCTTGAATAAACATTCCTCAGATTGTTGCAATCCTTTGGCTAATTTCCAGAGTGCTGAAAAAGGTAGTTTGACCCTTTTGCCAGTATTCTTGTTGCTTATTTGAGGAGTGAATTTTCAGAGGTCTTTATGCCACCATTTCAGAAGTACCTCTCCAGATGAAAAAAATCAAAGTTCAAGTATGTTAAGTAGTTACCCAAGGACATGATGGCAAGCAGCACCAAAGCTAAAATTCCAAATCTAAATCATATACACTGTACCCACCTGCCTATTATCACACTGGTTTTCTGCAACTTGTCATTAGATAATAAACAACAGTCCCCAAATCTCCAATATATGTGGCTTTTATTTGGCTGGCATTTTTTTTTTTTTTTGGCTGGCATTTTTAACAAGCTCTTTCACCTACAGTCCCTATGGCTGAACTTCGTATTAAGCCATCCTAACAAGTCAGGTTCATGTGTTGACCCATCAGCACCATTTTCTCTATCAGGTGTTTCTGCCACAAGCAACCTATTCCTCTTTCACTCTGGGGTGGGGGGAGCATGTTATGGTTATTTTGTTTTGATTTTTGGTAGAGTCTTGCTATGTTGCCCAGGGTAGCCTCAAACTCCTGACCTTGCTTAATCCTTTTGTCTCAGCCTCCTGAGTAGCTGAGACTCCATATACATAGTACCATGCCTGGCTTCACTCTAGTTTTGACTCTTAGTTGGCTATGAATATGTATGTTGGCAATTGAATAATAAACTCCTTGCTAAGGCTTTTCTTTACCCAAGCAAAATGAATAGTCTGCAACCCCAAGGATATTAACCATAGTAGCTGGAATTTCTAAGAATTTTTCAATAAAAGCTGAGGAATAGGTAAGCTTTAGTGTTCCACTCATGCTGGCCAATGGTTAAGGACAGATATCTAGAGTCTGGAAGATGATAATATTATGTTCAGATCCTCTTGAACTAAAAGTGAGCTTAAAACAGATCCTACATTCTTGAGTACTGGCCTGCAATAAAAATAATGGTATAAGGTAAACCTTTTACCAGTATACCTAGCTGTGCTATTTATTACAAAACCTGAAGTGTCAGGATGAAGAGTCATTTGCTGCAGTGGTATCAATATTACAGCTCTTGACATCTCTCTTTATAGGCTCAGTTCACCTGAAGTAAGATTTCACTCCACGGACTAACAAGGCATCTTTTGATGATCTACTTGACCTTTGCCTGGGCTCAACAATAAGAAGAGTGAAAAGATGTTATTTTTCAGCAGAACAAAACCCAAAAACATAAGCTAAAGGAGCCTAAGTCCAATATGATGGCCAATGGCATTTAATTAGTTAATCCTTGTCCCTTCCTGGAGACCCTCACTGTACATTAAAGTCACATGGGAGTCTTAAAAAAGATCCTGTCGACCAGGTCAGACCTCAGACCAGTTCATCAGAGTCCCACAGGGAGGGACCTAGCCGTCAGTACTTTCTTTAATGTTCTCCAGGTGATTCCAGTGTGAGACCTACTGTGTAAAGATATTAAGGACCCACCACTGAACTGATGTTGACAGGTTTAGCAAACAAAATATAAAAGACACATCATCCTATTAAATTTCAGATAAAGACTTTTTCAGTATCCCACATTAGAGGCAACATTTGGGCCATATTTACACTAAAAATTTATCTGCTATTTATGTGAAATTCACATTTAAATGAGAGCCCTCTCTGGACATAGTGCTTCCTGTCCATAATCCCAGCACACCCAGAATCTGAAGGAGAAGGATCATAAGTTCGAACCTAGCCTAGGCAGTTTATCAAGACCCAGTCTCAAATTTTTTAAAAGAACTAAAGATCTACCTCAATGTGAAGGCCCTGGTTTCTATCTCCAGTACTGCAAATAAATAAATATCCTCTATTTTATTTGGAAAACCTAAGTAGGACATAACTGAAAATCAAGCAAGGAGGATAGGAAAACTCTATTATCAGAAATATTTAACTGGGGTAAGTTTCACTGGTGGTAAGTTTCTTAGAAACACAAGATCATCTGGCACATAGTATAAAAAAAACAAAAAAAAAGCTCTGCCAGGTGAACACTATCCATACCATCCAGAGGAGAGTTTCCAAGTCACTTCGGAGGAAAAATGGCTTCAGGACTGTTCCAGGCAGGCTTCCATAGTGCCTGCATTAGTCTTCTAGGGCTGCCATAACAACGGTTGATACCACAGATTGGGTATTTAAACAACAGAAACTTATTTCTCACAGTTCTGGATCCTAGAAATCCTAGGTCAAGGTGACAACAGGTTTGGTTTCTCCTGAGGCCTTGTACTACTTTACAAATGGCTTCTTTCTCACTTTTTTCTCTGTGTACCTCACATCCTGGTTGTGGTATGTGTGTCTTTGTCCCTGTGTATCTCTGTGTGTCTAGATTTCCTTTTCCTGTAAGGACACCAGATTGAATTAAGGCCCACCTATTTTACCTTATTTATCTGTAATAACCTCTTAATAGGTTCTCTCTTTAAATACAGTCATATTTTGAGGTACTGGGAGATTACAGCTTCAACATATGAATTTTGCTGGATACAAATCAGCCCACAACAGTGCACCTCATGGACAGGAGTCCTGGGTGTGGCGTGGTCCTGATGTCCTCTTCCCCTGGCCACCCCAGCCCAGCACTCCCTTTCTCCCTCAAGCTGTGCAAGACCATGACAATGGCCCTGAGCTAGTAGGGAAAAAAAAGAGGCATTTCTGAGGGAAGTGACTGAAATGAAAATTAGGCAGGCAGAAGAGGAATTCACTTTCCTGTGAAGAAAGGAAAGGGGGAGAGTATCTCACCTAATGGAAAGATGATAGAGAAAGTGATACAGAACATGTTAAACTAAGATGGACCAAATGCAGAAGAGAGAGAATATGAAAACGATACCCACTTCTCTTAGAGATTGAGGACACCAGGAAAGGGAGTAGGTAGGATAATAAGGCACAAACTATGATTTCTCCAGGTTTCCCTTTGTCCCTTTCAGGAAAAACAAAACAAAATAAAAATGCCTCAAGTGTTTTATGACTGTCTGTACAGAACTTGGAGATGAGACAGCTCTGTCTTCGTTTTATTAGATTCTGGGGTTTGGTTAGCTTTCAGGAGCGTAGTTCACTGTCTCCAAGCAGCTGCCCTGGGTTCTACTGCTCGTGGGCATGAATATACATGGTAGGGACCCAGATGTGCCCAGACTGCAGTAGGATCTCCAGGACATGCAGGCTCACACGTACACCTGCTTGGGTTTGAGACGGTGCCCACCCCAAGAGCAGTGGGATCGGAACCAGTCCCTGCTGCCGTCCTGTCCCCGGCTGGGCCAGGCCCGGGAGACCTGAGGAGGAGCTGGGCTTTCTTCCCAGCGCCCGGAGCGCAGGTGGAAGGGATCCCAGGCTGGTTGGAGGTGAAAGCATCTGCCCTGTCCGTTGAGACTATGGCCCGGGAGGGGGTCCGTGTGGGGGCCCCTGGCTGACAGTGAAAGGAGGGATGCAGCCGCCGCCCGCTCCCCAGCGTGGCAGCTCTGTCCCCTCGAGGGCGCGGGTGGCCGTCGCTCCCCGCCTCCTGGGCGGCCGCCAGCCCTCACTGCCATTCCTACAAGAGCAAAGGGCTGCTTACGAAGAGTGTACACAAAAGCCAGGCTGAGAAATGAGTTTTCCACGCCAGCACTCACCCGCTTGGCCTCGGCTGCGTGCAGAGTCGCGGGGCCCACGGGAGGCCCCGCACCCGGGGGAGCGAGTGCGTCTCTGAGCAGCGCGGGGCTCCCCAAATGAGACCCGGGGAGGCTGCGCGGGTCCGGCCTCCTGGAGCAGCAAACGCTCGGGGCCTCGCCTTCCCACCCCCTCTCAACCCGACGCCCCCTACCCCCACTGCGCAGTGACATCCCCCGGACACCTCAATCAGTGGTGGACTGCCAGGCCCCCTAATTTATGGTTATGGGTTGTAACAACTTTAACGTGATTTATCTGACTGCAGGGAAGATGGCAAAAAGCTCCAGAAGAATGATTGGCCGTCCAGGCTTTGTGTATTTCTGATTGGCCTTATTAATTTAGGGCACCGCCAGGAAGCAGCCTCTTGGCTGAGACAGGGAAATCTACTTGGTAACAGGCCCTGTGAAAAGTCGTTTTGGGGCTGGCAGAGCTCTGCTTTCGCAGAAACTGAAGAAATAATGTGTTGCTTTTAAAACTGAGAGTTTGACAGGATGTCCTGGCATGCTGATTAAAGCGGATTTAGCCTAAAAGAGAGTCAAGATCAGTTGCCTTGACTAAGACTGTCCCACCTTCCTGTTTACACAGACCAAAGACATCAGTGCTTTCAGGATGGGGGAGGAAGGCTCTTTTCTTGGTTTTATTTATAATGTTTGAGTAGTGGGTTGAAAGGGTAACATTTCTGGCCTTGTAGGGGAAAGAGTTTGGGAGAAGCAGGGTGCAAATATGAGGATATGCTTTTAAAAATGTTTTATCTCAAAATCTTTCTGCTGCAAAAATATTTCTTTCCTTTTGAGTTCTCATCAGACATCATACCTAGTATTTATGGGATCTATAAATTATTTGATAAGCACACCAACACACCACACTTCACAAGGTCATTACTCTGTGTTACCACAGTAACTGTCATTTAAATGTCACCATTGACTGATGCAACTTAGTCCCATGAATAAAGGACCAAATAACAATATTGGAGGAGTATCATATTTAGAGAAAAATACTTTCATATGAAAGAATTACAAATTCGGTAGGGGTGGATATGTAATTTGTTATATTTATCTACGTGAAACTCAAATGTAGACACACTGCACTAGAAACCTCCAAATATAATCCTTAACATTGTGTTCCCTGGGGGGACCAGAACAAAGCTGGAGAGAGAGAAGACTTGATTGCTTGAGGGAGGGGGCCGGTCCGTGTCACACATGTGGTGGCACAATCATTTCTTTTATTTATAGCTCTAACCAGAAAAATAGACTGGGAGCAGCTGAGTACCAATTTATTTTGCTGCCTGAACCGATGAGAGGTTGCCTTAAATGTCATTGAGTTGGAAGGTTGTGCATTTCATTCACTGCCAGGTTACAGGAAGCTTTGATGCGGGTCTAGAAGGTGATCAGTAATTTTCCCGCCACCTATCAAGGTGGGCAAGAGCAATCCTGCTGGGTGGTATTGGCACGGTGGGGATGCAGCCTGCCTGTCAGTGCTGCCTGGTGTCATCAAATGCTGTTGGAGTAGAAAGGAAGGCAGCCCACTTAATCCTGTTAGAAGAGCAAAGTGGAGCACAAGGTAAGAGTCACCTCCCCGCAAAAAAACAAAAAAGGATTTGGATGTCAGGGGCAGGGACTTGTTTGGGCTACAAGCCATAGCATTTACACAGGGATCAGTGGGCCTGTGCCTAGCTCCCTAAATGTGTAACACATGAGATAATTACATGACAGAAGAGTGTGCTGTGGGAAATCAGAGGAGAAAGCATTGCAGTGTCTGTAAGGGTCAGGGGAGGTTGTCCCCACATATTGACCTCTGCAGTGAATCATAAAAGATGAGCAGTGGGTCAAGGATAAAGGGCAGGAGTTATACTAGCCATGGTGGAATACCAGCATGAAGGAGAGAAGACAAAGACGGGTGACTTAATCCACCCGATGCTGAGTGCTCCCAGGGTCCTAGAGTTGTGATTGCAGGCTGCGTCTCACTTCTAAACCTCACTCCCGAGTAAAGATAAGCAGTCAGGTGTCTTCTAAAGAAAATGATGGAAAAACACACATGTATCTTTCTTTAAGCATATCTAACCATAATGATTACAGAATCATAAAAGAGAACTAAACTCTGAAACCCAGTGTATTTGTTTTTAGCTTAAATGATCCTGCTCCACCAGTGTGACAATATGATACAAAGAAATCACAATCCTGAGTGCAATCTCCCCAGGATGTCAACGTGAACTCTGCTGGTGTTTGTCTCCATGGGACATCAAGCTGGCAGTGATGCGGCAGCATTCCCTGCATCTGGCCCAATGGTCCAGTTTTGCCCTCTGCCTTCTCCTCCTGGGCTGCTCTCCCGACACTGCAGGAAACACATCTGTCATCACAACAGACATGGCCTCCGTTCGTTTACATTCCTTTGCCCACTGGGCAGCTCCCTCCCAGGCCACTGCACGGATGCTTCTTTTTCTTCCTCTTCTTTTGTCCCCATCTCCTTCTCCTCCCTTTGAACAGCTCATTGTCCAGGATCAGAATTATGACTGCACAATTGATAGCTGCCCTCAGTTAAACAAAACCTCCCCTCTTTTGTCTTACTCCCCTCAACATTACCTGCTGTCTCTGTAGCAGCTCTAGTTCCCTCCAGAAAGAGGTAGTGCTTCCCACTTTGTCCTGGAGAACACAATTAGTTGTGGATGCCCAGCCATCCCCAACAGACCTTCTCGCACCTCCCTACATTGCCCAGTTTTCTACGTTACCTTGAAGTGCTCCCTGCCCTTTCAGGGCTGCATTATTCAGTGCCTCTCGGTGTGCTTTGGATGTGAACCTTTGCAGAGCTTCTCTTGGAGGAATCACGGTGCCTACATATCAAGGGCAGAAGGCTACATAGCCCAGGGACATGCCAAGGGACCCAAGCTATGGTGTGTTCTAGACAACTCAGCCTCTGGGTTTTTATTTATTCATTTTGCAAACATTATAGGAGCCCTTTCATATATTTCAGGGTATGTGGAGAAGAATAAGAAGTGTAAGGTCGAGGGAAGCAAACACCTAAATGTGTAACACTCTGGAGAAGGAGTACACCATTAGAGATGAAAAGAATACTGTGGACAATAAGAGAAGAGAATATTTAAGAGTCTTTGAGGGTCAGGGAAGATTTCCCTATTATGTTGACCACTTCACTGGCTCATGGAGGCTGACAGGAAATGGTCAAGGGGAGAAGGAGTGGAAGGTCTTGCTAGCCATAAATGGGGGAAAAAGCTTAAATTAGATGAAAGGAAAAGGACAGGTGGAAGAGTGAGGCAGAAAAGAATGTGAACAAAAGGTAAAGAGGGGTAAGAACAGAATGAAAAGGGAAACACTAGCCGATTTCTCTGATAATACTGGTCCCTCACATAATCTGATTTACTGAGTGGCATTCAGCCTCCAACAGTCAAGCTCATTCCCGGTGCAAACACCACCCTGACTTACACTATATCCATCTCACCAAATGATGCTGGACTCCAGGAAATGAAGGCCTTAGAATGTTCATAATATCCTACTAAAAGTTATCAGGCAAGCATAGAATAGAAAAGCTTAAAAACAAATCCAGGCTTTGAGAAATTTTGGGAAATGCATTGAAATGATATTAGCTGTTATGTAGCATGACATATGGATGGTAGGATTATGAATGATTTCAATTTCTTTTTTACTCATCTATATCTTCTAGGGTGAACATGAATCTTGAATATAAGGTATTTAACAGGTGCTGAGTGAGCTTAATTACAAACATTCTAATAAAAAGAGTTCCTATCATTTACAGTATTTAAATTCATGGATAGTAGCATTTGATCTGGATGTAAAAAGGTGAAACTAGGCTGGGTGTGGTGCCACATGTCTGTAATTCCAGCACTAGAAGCTGAGGCAGGAGGATTCCAGTGAGTTAGAGACCAGCCTGGGCTACACAGTGAGTTCATGGTCAGCCTGGACTATGTAGTGAGTCCATGTCTCAAAAACAACAGAGAGAGAGAGAACAGGTGCAACTAGAAAATTAGGATTATCTTGTTCATTCCGTGGTCAGGTGTTGCGGAGGTAATTTGGGTATGTCTCATTTATTTGCATGTAAATATTGTGCCACCACTACCCATCTCCTGCCCATTAGGGCAAAGACAACTCTGTGGTCACCTTAGCAGTCCCTTTTCCTAGCACAATATCTGATGTGAGCAGATATATGCTCAATAACTATTGTTTAATGAGAGAATAGTTTGAAAACGGAACCCTCACACATGCGCAGATTGTCTCTTCTTGCACGTGACTCTTTTCTCTCATGGCCTCAGAAATTGAGGGAGAAGTTCCTCGAGGTGAAAGTGAGCACCTGGGATAGAAAGGCTTTAGTGGGAAGCAGCTTCTGAGGTAGCCCCCATGATCGCTCCTCCTTGTATTAACTCCCTTGTATAAATCCCTTTTGAGGGTGGACTGGATCTTGTGACTTGATCTAAAGAACAGAACACAGAAGTAGGGTGGCTGTCACTTCTGTGATTAATCACAGTAGACTTTGACTTCCATTTTGGAAGCCTTCTCTTTCTTGCTGGCACTTTCTCTTGTCCTCCTGCTTGCTTGATCTGCTAAAACAAGCTGCCATGCTCTGAGAAGCTCTATGAAAAGGCCCATGTGACAAAGAGTTGACCAGCAACCCACAAGAAACTGAATCCTACCAACACCATGAGAATGAGACTTATTGCAGCAACTGGAGAACCCTACAACTAACTGGTCCTGCCTGTATTCTTCCCCAGAAACTGTAAAATAGCTAAGAAAGAGGTTCTTGCTTGCTGGCCTCATTTTTCTTGAGCTATATTCCTTGCTTCTTTAGTGTCCACTATCCAATTTGTTACTCAGAAAATTTACTCATTAGTCAGTGATGTGAAGGACTCATTGACTTGCAGTGTTAGATATGTTGTAGCTACGTCCATCGTACTCCAGGGGACACCTCACATGGACGGACACCTCTTGCAGGTCCTCCTGCCTCCCATTATTAAAGGACACAGTCTCCTTTTATTCCACTTCCAGACTCATCCTAGTAAATGAGCCCTCTCTTTTTACAAAAGGAATACATTCAGGCCCAAAAAGGGAAAATGGCTTGTTCACTTTCACTCCACAAAAGAATCAGGGTTAGGAGATGAAACAATAAGTCCTGCATCCTCATGCTCCCGACCAGGACAGGAGCTTGCCCCAGTTGCATACTGGTGTTCAATGAAATGAGCAGGTGCTGCACGCTGAGCACGAGGTCCATGCACCTGATCAGAGCTCCTAGTTTAGCTCACCCTAGACAGCAGGACTCACTTCTCTTTGGGTGCCAGACTCCTTTTACTTCATGTGGATTTGCCATTGTGGGGCTTGGTAAACTGCAACTCAGAAGCATTAACCTGAATTCTCCAAAGAAGATTTTTTTTCTTTGTAGGAAACCTCTGGCCGGCTATGCAGAAGAGGTCTGGGGTCTCATAGCACCTCTATCATACTGTCCACTCATTTACTACACATAGTTTGCTTCCTCTCTATTTCCCTTTATTCTACCAGATTTATAATTAGAGCACAACACTTCCCACACAGTGAATTCATCTTCACTAGTAGATATCTGTAATGAATATGCTTTGAATTGGCACTGTGACTTCTGTAATACTGCATTGGTGAAATTAGTCACAGGCCAGCCAAATTCAAGGGGCCAAGGGAATAGACTCCATCTCTCAATGGTAACATGGCATGTTTACACAGTGGAGAAAAAACTGATGTCAGCTAGCTTGAGAGACAAGCTACCATCAATGGAAAAGGACAAAATAACCCACATTAAGAGGCAAGAACCAGATGAGAGCCAAGAAGAGATCTGAAGGTTTGTATATCAGAAGACTGAAATGAAGAGTCTGGGACTGATTGGATACTGTAAGCTCGTAGGTTTCACAGTGGCTTTCCTTTACTCAACACACCCTGTACCTGGTCTAAGTAGTCTACATACAAACGTACACAATACAGGCACGGCCCAGCCACCATGGATCAGAGTTCAGTGGGAGATGCCCATGAGTAACTTCGCAGTTACACTTCAGTGCAGTGACTGCTGACAAAGGGGAAGGAGTAGGGTGTTACAAGAGCATCCAACTCAGATACCCAGGCAGGGGGCAGACAGAAGGGTGGCTGTCAGTGTTGCTTTGTTGCCCTCTAACAAAATTCATAGAAAGACTGCAGGAGGGAATTCAAGGGAAAACAACTGTAGCAATGTTGGTGAGTAGAATTAGATATTTTAAATCCCTCCTCCATTTCTAAGGAGTAAAAATGTAGCCCTGACAGAGATTATGCCTAGAGCAGGATGGGCTGGTAAAGTTGTCAGATGGTCCCTTTTAAAGATTTGGGTCTGTCCAATATAAAGTCATCTTATGAAACTTGTAAAATAACAACACGGATTGAAACGATATCACATGATATTAGGTATAGCTGGATATCACATCATAGGCAGTGGAGGAAACTGAAACAGCACTTTTCCTGACTCCAAAGAAGAAGTTACTGTCCTTGTTGGAGGCATATGGGGTCACGTTCAGGGGGAGGAATTTGATCATTCTTGTCCAAATTAAATGAGCTTGTGTCTTTAGGACAACACCTCCAGCAAGTTACTAACATGCTGTGCCAAGAACAGCAACTGCTTATATCAACACCAGGGAGATTGTTCTCCATGACTGGATGTATTGCCCGTGGCCACCACACTACCTCCGCCTGTTACTTTACCACATATACAGTGGAGGTTCTGTAAATATCTGTCTATCTTAAAGCATATATCACATTTTGAACAGATCACAGATGGTGATGGGGCTGGGTACACTCAGTGTTTAACTCTGCCTTCTAAACCCAGCCAAGAGCTCTGAGTGTGCTGTTAACTATTCAGAGAAATGGAGAACTTTCACTATGTCATCAAAAACACAGGAGCAATATTTAAACTCGATGATGTGCAGAACACTAGAAGAACTTCTCTAAGGAAAATGGTGGCAACTAAATTAACCAATAAGGTGGCATCTCCAGTTTCTCACCTTCCCATTACTGTTGCTCTCCTGTTTTCAGACACCTGTTTTCTTGTCTGGTTCTTTTGTCACTAGCTTTCATTCAAGCTTCTTCCACAGGGACTCTGTTGGTGTGGTGAGGAAGGGAGACAGCTGGCAGGAATGTCCATTTACTTCTTAGCTGCTGGAGCCACTGCTAGGTCTTACAGAGCGAAGGGGTAAGAGTTGGAGAGAGAATACCTAGGGAAACTGAAGAGAAAAATGAGGAAGATGGGGGAATCACAGAAACCAAAAACAAAAATGAAAAGAGAAATGAAGACTGAGATAATGTGGGAAAAACCCCTCATTAAGAGAGGAATTGAAGACACCACTGTCGTCAGCAGCCAGCCAGGCATGCCTTCTGCTGTGGCTTCCTTCTGCTTTGCTTTTGCTTTGTCATTTCATTGTTAATAACACCTCCTTTAGAAAGACAGAGAAGATGAAATTTGGGTTCATCAATTTGAGATATTTAGGTTTTCATAGTTAAATGCTGCTTTTTATTTTTTTGTTTTTTGTATCAAGGATTGAACTCAGATCCTTGCGCTTGCAGGGCAGGTGGCGGAACCACTGAGCTAAATCCCACTGAGCTAAATCCCCGGCCCTAAATGGTTTCTATTGTTGCTGCAATAAATTATGACAAACTTAATGGCTTACAACAATGCAAACTGTATTATCTTAACAATTCTAGAGGTCAGAGGTCCAAAATGGTGTCAATGTGTTAAAATCAAGGTCTTCTCCCCACCCCCAAACTGAGAATTCAACCCAGGGCTTTTCACTGAACTGCATCTCCAAACCTCTTTTTAAATTTTGATAGGCTCTTGCTAAACTGCCCAGGAAGGGTTGGAACTCATGATCCTCCTGCCTCAGCCTCAGAGTACTGAGATTACAGGCATACACCCAGCTAAATCAAGGGCTTTCAGGAACCCTTAAATTATACATTGTTTCCTTGCTTTCCAGTTTCCAGGGGCCACTTGCATCCTTTGGCTCATTGTTTCCTTCCTCTATCCACCAGCAATGGCAGGGGGAGTCCACACATTATATCATTCTCTCCTTACTTCTGTGGTCATGACTCCTTCTCTGAATCATTCTTCTTCTCCCTCTTCTATTGTGATTATATTGGTCCCATCTGGATAATCTAGAATAATTTCCCTACTTTAAGGTCAATTAATTACCAACCTTAATTCTGTGATCTTAATTCTCTTTTTTGCCATATAACCTAACACATGCATAGATGCTGGGCACTAGGAGTCACACATCATTCTTTTGACACAAATGTTGTCCAACCTTGTTGAAGCTACATGATTTCCATCTTTCCCCAGTATTCTTGAGAACCAGGAAAAATTCTGAATGTCATTTATTTGTTTTTTTCTCTTACGGGTTTGCTGGAAACAAAAGCAACAATCCTAACCATCTGTCATTTCAACAAGGGAAGATTTATTGCTTTTGACTAGAAAGGTACTTGTCACAGTAACAATACTACACACTTGAGCAAAGACAGAGTCTCTCCCTGGGGCTGCAGTGTGCCTCTCGAATGCCACCCGGCCCCACCCTCTTCTTTTCCATGCAGCAGTGCTCAGTGGTCTTGGGCTACACCTTGGAGCGCAGTCAAGATTTGGCATTCTATGGACGAGCAACATGCAGATCCACAGTCCCAGGGGATTTCAGCCATTTGTTTGAGTCAGTTTTATAGTTTCTGCAGAACTTGAAGGCTGTCATGCATGCTCCTCGCCGTTTATTTGTCATCCAAGCAGTGCTATACAACTGCTATAGCAAATGCTAGCGAGCAAAGAGAAATGCTCCAGTCCAATCCTGGCTAGACTTTAATCAACAAGAAATGACTCGGATTGCCTGTTGTTTTTGACAAAGTTGACATCAAAATTAGTCAAGGCAGATTGAGTTAAAATTACCAAATAATTTTTTAAAGAAAACAATACATTTCTTTTACATTTTACTGAGTACCCCAGGCTGGTATTGAACTTGCTGTGACTGCCCTGTCTCAGCCTCCTGAGTGCTGGGATTACAGGCATACAACTCGATGCCTGGCTCTGAATAAACTGGCAACCAAAGTGATTTCCCTGATTACAAAACCTATTCTTAAATTAGTACCATGGATATGCAGTTTCAAGAGATTAGAATGGTCACCAATGTGTGTGTGTGTGTGTGTGTGTGTGTGTGTGTGTAAAACAGGGAAAGAGACTGAGATTATATAGTTGTATTAAGCATTTGAAAAATACCTTTTAGACTACTTCAAATAGCTACTGTTTATGAAACACATTCCTTGTGTCAAGACTTTGCCAGGCATCTTAGGTATATTTGTGATCTTTAGAACAAACTCTCATGGTTGGTATTACAAACAAGGAAACTAAGGATAAATTGAGCTGAGGTCACATAGCTATTACATGGCACAGAGAGGAAATAACCCCCAGGCTTCCTGACTCTAGAACCCTTGCTATGCATCAGGCACAGGATAACTCACCGCAGAATAATGTAAAGCCTATTATAAGGTAAGTGGTGGCAGTGGAAATATGCAGGATTTCCATTCCTGAAGAACTAGGTTTTTCCCACACCTACTCAACCAACTAACTCCCTCAATAGCACTGACATCCTCAAGTCTGCAATCAGCAATTTCTAAGAGTCCCACATCGTGTCAGAAGAATATAATTGTCCCTTGTTTAGGTGCCATGCCCCTCTCAATTATACCCATGTATTTGTAAGAAATGAACAAGCCAGGCAAGCAAGAAGGAAGAAATATACTCAAAAGAGGGGAAAAAAAGACAAAATTATTATGAGGAAGTTGTAAAACACTGAAAAAAGTCACACACATACTGTTTGCCATGAAACAACTAGAGAATATTGCTCTACAAAACTTAGAAACTGCGATTTTTTTCCCATTATTTACTTGGCCTCTTCTGACTATATCCTCAGAAGAAATGTGTCTTTGAACTCAAATTCAATATTTGATCAAAGCGAACAACTAAAAATGTTGAAAACAAACAAAGCCAAACCCAACAATTGCCTACATATTAGGGAGAATTCTTTTTGTGAATTAAATTCACTAGTAATAAATTCTCAGTCCAAGGTCAGCTTGCTGTCATGGTGCGAGTGACAGAGTAGAGGGTGTGTGCTGGTGGGCTTCCTCCTCCTTTCACTTTGTTCCATCTGGGTCCTCAGCCTATTGGATGGTACCACCCACATGCAGGGCTATTCTCCCTTGGTTTGCTATCTCATATGCCAGTCTTCTCTGGAAACATTTTCATGCCCATAAGTGTCCTTTAACTAATTTTCTAGGTGTTTCTCAATCCAATCATGTTGACAATCAAGATTAAACATTACCTTAATATCCCTTCTACCTCCAGGCTTCTTCATATTAATGGACTGAAACTATGACCCCACATAATTCCTCCTTTTAGTTGTTGTTTGCAGGTATTTTGTCACAGCAATGAAACATTAACACAGGCAGGGACCCTGGTGAACTAGAAGTTGGCAGCAGGGTGAGGGGGGCTGCTGGATACCATGTGTACAGATAATGCCACTGACAAGCAAAATTAATAAAACCAACATTTACAAAGAAAAATTATGTGCAGGGCCGGGGATTTAGCTCAGTGGTGCTGCACCTGTCTTGCAGGCACACAGTTCTGAGTTCAATCCCCAGTACCAAAAACAAAAAAGAAGAAGAATTATGCGCTAGGTAGGTCCTGTGTTGGATACTTGACCTATATGGGTATAGGAGATTCAGAGGAAGAAGTTTTGTGCTTTTTTAGTCATTCAACTACAAGAGGCTTGCTCATTCATATACATGACACCCAGTCTGGCAAGACTAAAGCTACTGGGGCAGGAACAACTGGGCTTGTTCAGATGCCTCTCTTAGTTGGCTTCATTGTGATCTCTCCAGTATGGTAGCTTCAGGGTAGTTATTCTCACATGCAGCTCAGAACTCCAAAAGTAGAGCTAGAAACTGTACCACCTTTTATGATCCCGTCTCAGAAGTCACATAGTGTCACTTCTGTCATATTCTATTGGTTGAAGTAGTGTCAAAGGCCACTTAGGTTTAAGGGATAGGAACACAGACTTGTGGGGGGTTTTTTTTGTTTTATTTTTTGCTGATAAAAGTATGAAAGAATTTTCAGACATGTCTTTAAACCATCACAGTTGGGAAAAGGAAAAAGGAATGAAAGGAAGGTTTACAAACTGTTGTCCTAGGTTCCCAAATGGTTGACAGTTACAGCCACAGATCTGAGTAACAATGGACAAAAGCAAGTCAGGGGTCACATACATTCAAATGTGTTAAATTATTTCGACTTCTTGTTCCCCAAGAGAAACCTATTTCTTTCTTCATTTAACGAAAGAGGAAGAGAGACACACAGAACATACCAGGAAAGCCGAGGTCTAATGTACTGGTCAGCAAACTGTGGCCCATAAGCTAAGAATGATTTCCAAAAGGGAAAAGAGGAAAGAGAAGAAGAGAAAGAATGAGGAGGAAGAGGAAAAATAAAAAAGATAAAGGAGGAAAGCAACAGCAGAGAACATCTGTGGTGGGCAAAGCCAAAAATATTTACTATCTTGTCCTTTACAGAAAAGTTTATTGACCCCTGTTCTAAAGCACTTTCAAATATGCTTTCAGATAATTTCATAGAACAGCAAGCATGCCTCCAGAGGCCTTTTAATATAAAGACTGTCTTCATAAAAATGGAGTATAATACTCAAATAACATAGGGCCTTGTCCTACCAATTATCATGTTATATGACAATCTCACATCTTCATATTCTCCTATTTTTCCTGTCTGCCTGCCAATATTTTTATCTCCCCATAATAAATAATGCCTCTTCCCGTACCACTTCCTTTTTTTGTTTGTAGTTTTCTTTTCCCCTTTGGTAACTTTCCTCTTCAAAAGCATGTTTCTTATTGCTAAAGAATAACCAAAACTCACTATTCCAAATCATTCATTATGCAGCCCATAACCATATTCCTATCCTCTTTGTCTATACCATTAATCCTTGCCTCTAACCCTCAGCTTCCACACTATCATCTATATCAGACCTGTCCTTCCTTCACAGTCCATGTCCTTCCATGCTCCGGATTTTTCTCTTACTATTCATATATCCAGAAATGCCCATTCTTTCATTCTTACCGTACTGAAACATGTGTATCCCTCATGTTTCCTGTGCTGATCGCCTAGAAACTGTCAGTGTTTTGCATTCCCATAACATATGGGTGTATGTGTACTTACCTAGCATTTATTATTTCCATTTATACATCTTGTTTCCCCAAACAGAAAAGCTCATTAAGGGTAAGAACTATTTCTTAGTCATCTTAATGTCTAATGAACACAGTAATAGTTGTTTTAAAATGAATGAATAATCTCAGATCTTTTTATTTTTCCCTGAAAACACATTCTTTCCAGAGCTCATCCAGAGGTACAGCTCTGTTGCTCAAGTTCATCTCTTCCTGTTCTTGTTCTAATGACATTTCTATTCCCAGAGCCCCTAAGTTCTGGAAGAAATCAGCCTACATTCTTTCTAGCAGTTTTATGGCCCTAGTTTCATTAAATCATTCTCTTAGCACTTCAAAATTCCATCTGTCCCATAACATGACTTTCCACTTAGTATAGCTCAACTGCATGCATTTCATTACCTGCAGTTCCTTCCAACAGCTTCACAGTACATAAACTGCAGATGCACCTATAAGACCACAACTATATTTTTCATACCTTTCCTTATATTAAAAAAGTAACACCTGATTATCTCATCACAGCCATCTTTATACATGTAAATGACCATGACTTTAGAGACAGGATTATTTTTACCAGTCATATAGAAAAAACAAAAATTATTCTATTAAAAAGAAGAGGCACATGATAACAGAAAACAGATGGACCTTGGACCCAAATGCCAACACATCAGGTAGGAACCTGCACACTAACTTTTGGGATGTTTCTTTTTTTCCCTTGATTTCCTAGGAGTGACGGAGGACCATTCTGCTTCTTGGAACCCTATTCAGTTTGATTTGACTGTTGAATGCCTGTGAAAAGAGGGGTACTGGTTCCTTTTAATGAGACCATCAACAAGGGAGGAGGTTATAAAGCAGAATTAGAGTTTAAAAAATATTGGGAGCTGCCTGCTTTGCAAGCGCAAGGCCCTGAGTTTGATCCCCGGTACCAAAAAAAAGTTGGGAACTGGCACACACCTATAACCCTGGGAAAGTGCAGCAGGATTGCAAGTTTGAGCCCAGCCTGGGCAAGTTAGTGAGACCCTGTCTTTAAACAAACAAAAAAACAAGCGGCTGGGGATATAGCTCAGTGTGAAGGCCCTGGGTATAATCCACAGTACAGAGAAGCCTTGATTTATGAACTCAGTCTGTTCCCAAGGACTGGTTGTAACTCGAGTTGGTTTTAAGTCAATACTGCTGAGATCTGGATGTTTACCTGGGTACATGCTATAGATAACAAGAGGCAGATGAATCTTCCATTAACCTAATTAACCCAAGTTGTTCATATGTCAGGCTGGTCATAACTTGAGGGTCCCCTGTATTTGCTAATAGATAGGTAAATAAATTAATAAATAGATAAGGACAGAAATAATTTAGAAAATAAGTATTTGGTCAATTCTCCCAGAATGAACTCCACAGTGCTCATGGGTACTCACCAGAGAACTCTAAAGGTGCTAACAGTTGCAACATCTATGTGAATAGCTGTTATGACTGTTCCTCTAAGACAAAAGAAATCCCAGGGTTAGAATAGAAAACGCCTGTGTTTAGTAGATAAGGTCACAGCTAAGTTCAAAGTCTAATGAGTCTAGCCAGGGATTTACTAAGTACACACAGAGTAAGAGGTATTAAAGTCATTGGGATGTATGCTTTGAAATACAAATTACTTAATAGTGACAGTATTTCTAATAAAAGAATTCTCTTATAAATGCAACAAAGCTCCAATAAAGTTTCTTTATTCAAAACTGCTATTTATATGTATGTGTATGCCCAGCACATGGTAGGCATTCAGTAGCAAGATTTCTGCTCAGTAAAATGCCAAAGCATTGTTTCTTTTGACACACAGAAAATTATTTTTTTAACCACTGCAGTAATGCTAATATATCCAAATCAACATCACTCACTTAAATATTTGATCATTAGAGTAATAATAGTGCATATATAGAAGCACAACTAATTGCTAAATGTTAACTATTACTGGTTACCTAAATACCATATTGATAAAACACAGCAAAAGGAGAAGAAAAAGTGAAGGAATCTTTAAATAGAAGCAAGTCTATTGGGCTGGGGATTTAGCTCAGTGGTTTCGCCACCTGCTGCACAAGCGCAAGGACCCGAGTTCGATCCCTGGTACCAAAAAAAAAAAAGAAAAGAAACATGTTTATTAATAATAAAATAGTTGGAACAATTGTTACAATTGATCATTTAAAAGGAAAAATGTTCTGACATTTACAACATAGATGAACCTGAAGGACATCAAGGTTAAGTGTCCTACCTGGGCACAAAAAGACAAATACTGCATGATTGTATACATGGAATCTTAAAATGCTAAACTTATAGAGGCAGAAAGTAGAATGGTGATTACTAAGGGCTTCTGTGTGTACGGACGGATGTTGCTCAAAGGGTTCTAAGTTTCACTGAGGAGGAATAATAAGCAAGAGAAAAAGAAGAAAAACCTAACTTAGGAAAAACAGCTCAAGCCAGAAAACAAAAGTAGTAGTTTTTTCAGTAAGCTGATTTAGCTTAAAATTTTTTAAAAATATGCTAATAAGGCATACTTATAAGACTGTGGAACTAGCAAATATCAATATTTAAAATGGGAAATTAAGTTTAACAGGATAATATTAAAGTATTTTATACATGCAAAATACCTAGTACAAGTTCTAAATACATCCATTATTCTTAGTTCTAATTATGGTAGATATACTTAAACAATGGTATCCTCTTGTGGGTATGTATGACTTCTATTTTATGTCAACAATATGATCTGGATTAGAAGAAAAATAGATTGATTCTGTGACAGCTCAAGTAGTTATTTCAAAGTGGCTTGGAGGATGCTGGAAAAACAACTTATCTTACTGATCTTAAATGTTTTTGTGTGTTCTAATTTTCTTTTTCTATCTCAACCACAGCAATCTCTCAATGTTTTCTTTGTTAAATTTTTATTATGTCTGTGATAGTTAACTGATTGTGTCAACTTGAGTAAGAAATGCCCAACTAAATTGGATCAGCATAGTTCTGGGTGTGGCTGCAGGATTTACTGAGGACAGAAGACCCACTCCAGGGCAGCTTGTCACCTGAATGGTATAAAGGGAAAAGAAGGCAGGCTCACTTCTGTTTCTTTCGAGGAGCTCCAGTCTTAGCCTTCACCTTGGACACTTTCTCCAGCTGTGCTTCCAGCACAGACTCTTCAGCCTTCCAGTGCAGACCTTTTGGCCTCCTGATACATACTCCCACAGGACACTACAGTGAGCTCCAGGCCTCCAACTGGATCCTTCGGCTCTCCAGGGCACAGACAGACCTTTTGCTCTCTTCCAAGCCTGACTGTGAGTGGCGATTGTAAGCCAATCTTGTAAATTCCTATATATTTTTATATCTTGCATTATATCTGTTTCTGTAATAAGCACTGATACAATGGACCATTTCAAATGTATATAAAAAGCAGAACACTATAAAGAACTCCCTTATAGCCATTACCCAACATCAGTAAAATACTAGTCAAGTTTCTTTTATGTGTAGTGTTTGCACTGTACATTCCTCCACTTTGGTAGATTATTTTGAAGCATGAAGTAAAGTCCATACATCATATCACTTATCAGTAAATTCTGTTAATATGTATTTCCTAAAAGATAAAGATTTAAACAAAAAACCACAATGCTACTATAAGAAATAACCTTTTTGGGGTGTGGGGTTTGAGGCAAGGTCTCACTACTTCAGGCAGGCCTTTAAATCCCAGCAATCCTCCCGCCTCAGACTCTGGAGTGCTGGGACTACAGGGATGCCCTCACACCTGGTTTAGCAATTAAGTACTATTTAAATTACCTCAATTGTCTTGTAAATGTTTTCTGGTGACTGGTCAACTCAAGATCTACACATTGCAATTGGCTGATATATATCTTTAAATTCATTTCAATCTCTAAGTTTCTCCTCCCATTTTTTCTTGCAATTTGTTTTTAAAAAGTCACATCATTTATCCAGGACAGTTTTCCACTATAAATTTTACTACTTACCTGTGCTAATTTAATGTATTCCTCTGTATCCTCATTTCTTACAAAGTGGCAGTCAGTTTGGTCACTGGGTCCAGGTGGTAAGTCTGATCCCCGAATTCAATACTTGCCCATCAGCAATTTTACTTACTGATTTTTAACAGCCATGGGACAGGCGTAGCATTATTATTTCATTAGCCTTTGTAAATGGTAATATCCTATCATACCCTCTGCATTTGTGTATGATAGGAAAATCTCTCTCAGCTATTTACTCTGGGTGTAGCTTGCATAAGGAAGGTAGGATAAATCCAGCACTGGATTCTCAAACTCAGCAAGGATCCTAATCAGCTCTCCCTTGCTTGTACCGTTAAAATAATGCTACACTTCTGCTCCAGACAGGTACATTCTATAAGCCCCTCCGAACACACTATAGTCTGCTTTTGCTTCTTTGAACTCTTAGAACATTTAGAAATTTAGAATGTACATCACAAAATGTTACATCTCCACAGCCTTTAGATTTCTCCATGGATAGAAGTGCTCCATAACGCAGTCAGATATCAAAGCTTTTCAAGATCTAGTTTCACTGACAAATAATTCTGGGTGTATCATCCCCAGTTTGGTGAGTAAAAGGCATGTCTCATACGATTTAACTTTTACAAAAGGTACAATTATAATAAAAACTCAATGGGAAAACAGTGTCTTAAAAAATAGAACCACAATACTAATAGTGATCCTAGATCCAGAGCTCCAGAGAAGGTGCCTGAGTGGAATTTAGGCTTGAAAATAATCCAGGTGGCCCAAGGATAGTCCTCACTACATGTCTAAAATTACTATAGAGAAATGTATTACTATTACAAAATAATTATTTCATAAAAAACTTTTTGATGTTTTATTTACTGTGCATGTTTAGTGCCTAGGCTATAGTACTCAATTTTGTTAAACACATAAAATAGATGAATGTATTTATCTAGAACATATTTATCGTTTTGTTTTGGTACCGGGGACCAAACTCCGGACCTTGCGCTTGGGAGGCAGGCAGTAGAACCACTGAGCTAAATCCCCGGCCCTAGAACATATTTATTTTGTATAAGTTTCATTCACTAAGAAGTTAAAGGTAGGGAAGCTTTTTATTCTGAAAATTCACCTAAAGTCTTATTGAAGAGAATGTAAATTTGTTTTGAAAAATTAGGAAAATATTTTCATTTACTAATGTTCTTCAGTCATTGTTCTGCCACCATAGTAATATTAACAGCATCACTGTGACTAAAATCAGCCCTTTCCCTGTATCTACACAATGCTTTTCTTTTCAGTCAAATTTTTAAATACACTGTACAGATTAAAATAGCAACCCCTGAATCTTTTTCAATAGTTATGTTCAAAGTGATATCAAACACCTACAACTGTTTATTGTTCAACCACAGAACAGAGATTATTCCTAACAAAAAACAGCATTATAACTACATAAACTTATCTGAACTGTCAAGGTGTGGACACTTTTAGTCTTGACTTTTCTGTGACATCTGACACTATTTGGGTTTTGAGAAACCCTGACCTGTAAAATAAAATATTCTCAATTGTAATGTAATTGTCAGATTTGAAACTTAAAGCAAGCAGCGTATTTTTATAAAGTGGTAATAAGGACTTTTTAAAGGTAAGTAAACTATCTTACCCTAAGAGCTGCATACTTCTCTCCCCTTAGCTCTTTCACCCACTTTTGCCAGCTCTCAAAAGTGAAATAGGTCACCAGTGCATTTTTCACCATCATTTTGATTCTTAAACATTTCATGTAATATCTTTTCTGTGCTTTCTTGGGACAATGACCTAGCTGTACAATTATTTTGCTCTCCCTGTGGTGGAATCTAGCAAAATACTTAACGAACCTCATTAGACAATCATATGGGTAATTTTAACATTTTTGCTTAATTATGTTAGTGGCATCAGCAGTGTTTCAGATTTTATGACAATGGTCATAATTCTCCTTTTGGGTATTACTGATCTGACCTAATTAATTTTTGAAGATGACTGTTCCATTTGCCTTTTGTTACAGAAATTATAATGGGGATTATTCAGTGGGAAAGTGAAAGTACATTTCCTCAGTGTTTTTCCAATGGAGGCAATGAAGTGTAATAAACAACAGGAGGGAAAATGTGTGGTTATGAATTAATTTCATAGCTTTCCTAATACTCCAGTCCTACACACTGCAGAGCTTTTCTCTGCTGTCATGTGCCTTTGGCAAGAATGCTTTGGGGCTACTCCACAGACAAAATGTCTTGAATGTACCCTTGCTAGTCAGTCTTGTGCTATTTGCCAAAGGGTAACCATTTTAAAATAGCTTTTTTTTGGTACCGGGGCTCAAACTCCGGTCCTTGTGCTTGCACAGCAGGCGGTGAAACCACTGAGCTAAATCCCCGGCCTTAAAATAGCTTATGTTTTAATGTGTATAATTAACAATCAGCTCTGGAAGCAAAACTGTTTCCCAAGAATCATCATCTCCACCTGGTACTTCCTGTATACATCTTTTCTGTTTCCAATTGAAACTGGCATTTATTAAAATGTCATTATCATAACCCATCTTTCCTTTGGTTCACTCAAAATACTGCTTTATTCCTTCCCATCACTGGCTTTTTGCAACTACAAATTACTTAAATGCTTGACAGTAGACCTATACGGAAAGTTAATTATTCCAAGTAAATGTCAATAATACTGACTGGAAAGCTGTATTTTTGATAACGCAAATTCATCTTGCAGGAAACCATCAAAAACCAGTGTACAGAGAAGTCTAAAAGTAAAAAGTGGATCCATTTTTAAAATAGAGATTAGAGCAGAACTGTATTATGGGACAAAAAACAAGTCAGCTGGTGGCAATATTTTCTCTTGTAACCTAGAAAACAACAATGTATGAAAGAATCTACATATCCAACAGCTCAAAAAGAAAGTTACTAAGGGCAGCACTGTATATAGTTTTGGACACAATTTACTTTTAAAGCACAAGATGAACTATGAATAGTTTAACCACACAGGCCACTGAGTTTCTGATCAGATCCATTTTAAGTTCAATGAATTATCAAAAGAATTTGTAATACTTTGCGGGTGTGGATTAGCAACTGTTGATTCTCTATAAAATGTTAAATAGTGTATAGGGTTGGATAATTAGCTTGGTTGGCTCAATGAAATGTTTTTGAAAATGGAATTATAGTATAATTAGATTTGTATTGTTAGCTTCTCTCCACAAATCAAGGTTTGACATAGCATCCTAGAGATCTGCATCAAAGAAAACATGGGCACTTAGTAAAAATTGTGAATTTACTTTGTTCTTTGCTCGCAAGAAAAATTTAAAGCCAACTGATTCAAGTACTTTCTGCATTTTCAGGTATTTGCTATCCTTTCCACAATGAGGGCTCCATCCTGATGAGATCAGATTAAGTAGTAAGGTTATCCTCAAGGTTAAACCTAACAGCCAGGGGTACCCTCATTAGATCACTTCTGAATTACAAAAGCAGCAAACTCCTATTGGAGGGATAAAAGAAATTCAGTTGCTTTCAAAAAAAATTTCTGTGTATGCCTTTTTCTTAGCAAAAAACTGCCTTATTTTTTAAACGGAGAAAAAACAGAACACACAGAAAAGTACTAAAATTTACCATGTACTTTTGTCAGTGAAAATAAAAAAGCACAAGTGTTAATTTTCTAACACAGAATTTAGGGTATTTAGTATATCACATTAGTTACATTAACTAATTTCCTCTATAAAAACTGCATTTTCCAAATGAAGTACAAGCCACTCAAGAATCAAAATGGATGTTATTAGATTTAAAATGCTTAAGTTTCTAGAAACCTTCCTTTTAATCCCTAGAGTCATTACTCCCACACTAAAATGCAATGACATAAAGTAACACTTAAGGATGTAGGGAGGGCCAACACATCCAGAAAATAAGGGTAGGCTGGCCACCACGACAGCAGAATTTCTTGGATTCTCCAAAGTTGAAAAAGAAAAACCACTCACATCATAGCACACTTAAGGAAATTTATTTTTTGCTTTATACATTAAAAAACTCTGAATAATGCATTTAAATTCAACCTTCTCATGCAAGGAGTTGCAAATCAAGTTTTAAATACAAGCTCTAAATTGCTTTAGGTTTACACGTTTAAAAAACTCAATGTACCGACAGCATATAAGAAAACATCAGATCTAAAATGTTAAGGCACAAACTTTGGAATTGGATCTGCTATTCTGCATCCAATACCTGCAATGCACGACAGGATGACTATTTTCACCGCAACCAGAATTAAGCAAAACAGGCACAAACTAAATCTTCCATTAACTACTGAAATCGGCGTTGAAATCTTTTGGGGTGAAAAGTTAGGTGTCAGAATCTTGCACAATTTCACTCCTTCCTTCAAGAAAGAGAATCCAATGGCTCAGTTCTTCCCAGAGCTTTAAGCCCAGCGAGTCCACCCTCCGCCCCGTCCGCCGAAGAGCTGAACTAACGGTTTCCGCGCGGCCGGGCGCGGGGGCTCGCGGGCTGTCCCCGCGCCCCGAAAACAAAAGGGATTCCCAGCCATTGTCCTCCGCGGCGCTGAGCATCACCAGCACTAGCAAGGCAGTAGCTTGCGCAGTTATCTCCACAGCGGGCAATGTCACAACCCGACCAACAGCACAAACTACTACCTCAGCCAGGGCCATGGTGTCGGGAGCCTCCGGACCGCGCGGAGGGCAGCGGGCGGCACGCGCCCCTCCGTCCTTCCTCGGCCACCCCTTCTCCTTGCGCTCTTCGCGCCGCGCCCGAGACCCCGCCCAGCTCCACCGCTGCGATCTCCCGGCCAGTGGCAGCAGTCACCGCGGGCGTCCTCGCCCACCACGGCTCCAGAGAGGCGGCGGGCTCCGCCGAGGAAAGCCGCGCCCTCATCTGGCGCCACCAGAAAGCAGGAAACAGGCGGCAAAAGCGTGGCGAGACGCCAGGGAATCGACGATCCCCGAGAAGCCGCGGGCAGCGCTCCTAGGTTCTGCGCGCAGCCCGCGGGGACCCCGCGCCCCTCCCGCCCGCCGCGACCTCGGGCGGCTCCGCACCCGCCCGGCCGCCGCCCGCTCTCCGCGAACGCCCGGGCACGTCCCACAGAGGCGGCCGCCGGCTTCAGCGCGGCGGCTCTGGCCGCGGCATAGTCCGGAAGTCCCCAGGCCACCGGTTCCCCAGCACCCTTCGGGGGAATCCCGCGCGGCTCCGCAAGAGGCGAAAACAGCGCCCAGAAACCCCGTCAAACTGAAACTGGGATGTGAGGTGGGCTGGGTTCCGGCGCTCGGCTCGGGCAGACACAGGACCCGTCTCGCGCTCCACTGCTCCAGTGCTCCAGACGAACCATAGAGATCACTTAAGGAGGCTGGCGCGCTACTCCCATCACGTGACCGCCCGCCCGGCAGCCCCCCGCGCCGCCATCTTACATCCGGGAGAGAGGCGGTGTCTCCGCCGCTCCCCTCGGCAAGATCCAACGTGCCTCTAGGAATCAGCCCCCAAAGGAGGCCCTAGACTTCACGTCACCGCAGTGCTGAGGCCGCGGAGCTGGCCCCCAGTTCTCCCAGTGGGGCCCAGGGATCCCCTATATTGCCCTGGTCTCTGCCCGCAGAGAAGATGGCGGCGCGTACCGTCGCCGAAGTGGACACGTTGTACTTTGGCCTCGTTTAAAGTTTCCGGCGCCTCTTCTCCTATCCGGCAAGGACACAGCCCTGTTGTGCTCCACCCCTGCGGCGTGGCCACAGTGCTACTTTCCGCGGAAAATAGGCGGGAAATCCGCTCAACAACTCGCCTTAATGCGCAGGCTTTAGGACTAGCGGGTTTGGGACCTCCCCCCTCTTCTAGGCCAAGTTTGGGAGAAGGCCGACTGCCCTGGAACGTTTTTTTGCTCTTGGCCCAAACAACTTTTCCCTTTGCTTCCCATTTAGAGTGTTTGTTGTTTTGTTTTGTTTTTTTAAAGAAAAAAGTTACTAGGGGTTGCCAGATAAAATATAGGATGCTCAGTTAAATTGGAATTTCAGATACTTTTTAAAAGCGTATGTATGTCCCACGAGCTCAAAAAAAGTGATCTAAAATTCAAATTTATCAGGACATCATCTATATTTACTAAATCTGGCAATCCTGTTAGTCGTGAAGCTCCTGAAAATCCAGACTACATATAGCAAAAATAAGAATGGTGGGAAATGAAAAGCATCTTCAGCTATAATTTGGGACTTTGCCTACACTTTGATTCTCTCACGGCACCTAGAAGGCTACGAACCCGAGCGGCATTTATCAACAATACGTGAAGAACATTTATGCATGACTTGTTTTTTTGGGGAAAAAACTTCCCTCAAACCAGCACGGTGTGATTTTGAACAGCATCTAAGGCTGAGTCTCACCGCAAATTTAATGTTTCTAACCTATATGGTATGTAGATGAGGGAACCAATTCCTTGAAAGCAACCTGCCTGGCATGTTTCATAACATGTGCATATTCAGAAAATAAAATATTTGAGTATGTCCACTGACAGCCATGTTATGCTAATTTTAGGCATTTTAAACAACTGCTAATGGTACTTTTGCTTGGGATATCCAATCTGAACTATTTCCAGTTAATATTTATGTATTTGTGTGTATGTTTTACCAACTTACAGTTATATGCTTTACCTGACAAAGCATAAAGTTCACTATCACAAGTTTACTGTATTACAGGGCTGCTGTATTCACTACACATGGGACTAATTCACTGCACAGTGAATCACATTATCCCTTCCAAAACAAATTCATTTGTCATAATGGCAAAGATTTTTAAATAGCCATTAAACAGTTGTTTGGCCCAAAGCATAGAGCTTGCTAGAGTAATAAAACTTCCAACTTCTTTTAGTCAAGCCATTACTTTATTAATCCTTTCTACAACTATTTTTGACAGTACTGACAGCAGTCATAATCCATAATGTGCTGTTCCTGATCAACTCTTTATTTTCCCCCATCCATAATAGCCAGAATCTAAGCGTCCTTTTCAAATGTGACCACTCTCAGCTATCCTTTAACCTCACCTCAGAAGGAAAATTGCAATCTTTTAGTTTTTCTAACTTGGATTTCCCATGCTCTATCTTGCTTATAACTGCAAGTATATCTTCTTTACTTTCATAATTTATTATTAAAAATAAGTAATCTATTCTGCCTGGCTTTAAAGGAATCTCATGATTGGGCCTCAATCTCTCACAGCCATTTTGTTTCAAACAACACCAAAATGCATTACTCATATTTCAGATACACCTTCTCAGGTTGTTTTTCCCTAAAATATACTTCAATGCCCTTTAGCTTCATGCCACTAAGGTTCATTTTAAATTCCACCAATGAGCCTTTTCATTTCTTTTGTTGCTTTTCCTTCTGAATACTAACAGTAATATTAACCTGAACCACAGATAATTAGGCTAAGGTTCTCTATTTTATGATCTCATTAATCTGTACTTTCAATGAACTTTGCACACTTATTAAAGATCTGTATTCCTTGCAAAACTGTAAACTCCTAAGGGCAGACATTAACTCAGTGCCTAACATAATGTAGGTACTAAAATATGGTTAATGACACATTAGTACTTGATAATATAGTCTTGTATTTATTCAGTGTTATTTTAGGTATGTAGTGTTCTCAACTAGTTGCAACAAGTACCTGAGAGTTGCTAGTGTCTTCTGTCACATTATAATGACACACTAGATTCTTGATACTTGGTAGTTGTCCAGTAAAAGGCAAGAACTGTTTTCTATTACAGGAAAAAGTTTTTTTCCCATTTCTTGAAATGTGTGTGCCAAGTGTGTTTTGTTCATGTTACTAAAACTTACCATAATCTGGGCACAATGTTTTATAACACTCCTTTTTTACTTCTAAAAACCAACTCTATGTTAAGGACCACTATTAAGTACATTTGACAAGAAAACCAAAAAGGTTAATTAACTTGTTCTGGTCACATATTTAGTAACAGAGCTAGGATTTGAGGTTTTAAGTCTAGCTCAAACTTTCAGCTTACGCATTATGTTATTGCTTATATACCACAGCCTCTTAAAAAAAAAAAGCAAATTAGATAAAATGTTTTAAACACAACATGTTTTAAACTTGGACTAATAATAGAAATCCAGTGCAGCTCATATGATGGTCAGTTATTAATTATTTCTCTTTTCTCAGTATTGAAAGTTGTTTTATAATATTCAAGTTTGTCCCAACTGCTTATTCACAGATATAGTAATTGCCTCGAAAGTATTTTCAATTTATTTTAGTAAGGGTTGGGTTTTAATGGGGTGGGAATAAGTTTTGTAAAAGATGAAACTAGAATGTTATAGTAGAACTACTTCTTCTTTTTTTTTTTTTTTTCCGGTACCAGGGATCGAACTCGGGTCCTTCTGCTTGCAAGGCAGGCGGTGGAAACCACTGAGCTAAATCCCCAGCCCCTGAACCACTTCTGAAGCAAGACATGGTGATCAACAAGACTTTAGGTCTGTGACTCTAGGAAATCACCTCTAACCTCTGACTTCTTTTATTATAATAACTTCCTTCTAAAACTGTGAGAATGAAGAGTAATATAGGTAAAGCCCTGGCCTACAGATACTAGGTACTCCAGAAATGTTTATTAAAATTAGGATTAGACATGTACCAAGTTTCTATGAGGAATATGATCATTATATACTAAAACGTGCTTATGTATGTGTGTGTTTGTGTGTGTAAATAAAGGGATTCAAGAGATGCAGGGAAAGGAAGGGAGAGAAAGGGAAGGAGATAAAAAAAGAATATATGTCATGTACATTTACCAACTCCTCATGATGAATGTAATCACTATGCATTACAAACATGCACCAATAAAAAATTTTTTTTAAAAGAATATATTCTAAGACCCAAAAAACTAGGAATTAGAAAAGTTACTATAACCATATCTAACTGCAGTACACACGAAGTAACATATGAATTTTTCTGTATTATACTTCTTAAAAAAGGAATTGATTGATTGATTGAGACAGGTTCTCACTGTGTTGCCCAGGTTAGTCTTAAATTCCTGGGCTCAAGTGATCCTCCTCCCTCAGTCTCCTGAGTAGCTTGGAGTACAACTGCATGCCTGGCTAAACAAATTTTCAAACAAATTTTGAGAGGTGGAAGGATGGTCTGGCATTCATAGACAGGCAGTCTCAAAATAGCTTCACCAAATTAAAGAAAAGAAGGATGCTCTTAAAAGGCACATCATATGCTTAGCATGTGTGAGGCCCTAGATTTAATCCTCAGAATCAGGAAAGTCTAATCTATATTTTTTACTTGACCTGGAATTTTTACTCAAAGTTCCAAGTATACTTTCTTTTCAAACTGACTGTATCAAGAAATATTTCATGCCTTTCGGACTGTATATTCTCTTATTTTTTCATTTTATATATTAATAGTTTTAACAAAGCTCTCAAAAATATTTTTTCATTTTTCCCCCCAAATGACCATACATGTAAGACATCTTAAAACATCTGAATAGCTACTTACAAAGTCTTTAAACAGAGCCACGTGATGTGGAGTGTGTTTTAAATGTAATGGGGATGAGAAAATAAACACAAGTATATTAAAACTTAGTCACTGATCAGATCTGAAGAAAAATTAACAAATAAGTTACAATTTTAAGTTATAATGAGACAACTAGTAATGTGAGAACATAATGAAAAACCAAGAATCATGCTTAGTGCTAACCGTAAAGCAAATTAAGGTTCTATACATTTATAGTTATTACTATGTAGTTTTTGTGAGAAATCTATCCTAGACTAAAAATAAATTTGAGTTTGAGACCAAGAGACTTTCATGATTATAATACATAACTGATACATCTCAACAACATAAAAATTGTAAGGAGAAAATATAACAACAGTGGTGTTATTTTCAAGAACTGAATTGGGAGCTAAAAAAGTGTCACAAAATTAGATAAATATATCCCGTCTGACATAAACACCATATGGTAACTGTCTTAAGAGACAGGAGCTGTATGTTATGTGTTAAAATTATGACACAGAGGTAGTAAAAGCTGGAAAGCAAGCAAAATTTGCACAGTTTTGTTTAAAGCTTAGTATTTTATTTTTCAAGATGAAAAGAATTAAGACTGTAATACTATAGTTTGGAATTTTTCTCCTTTCTAGTAAAACTTCACAGAAAGAAGTAATTTTTATTATTTGCAACGATTTTTCAAATAATGGCATGGTATGCATACACTTTTAGTTTAAAATAAAACTAAATGAAACTACATTTGCAGCAACTGTAAATTCAATAATCTTCTTCTTACCTGAGAGACTATAATCACTTAGTAAAATTAGGAATATTTCAGTTGACCACTGTGTCACCATAAGCAACAAGGATATGGAAAGCAAATATATTCTAGAAAGACTCAGAAATTAAGAATTGTAACATTCTAGGTCTTCCATCAAAATTACTGTTTTGCAACAGAAAATTAGCAATAGGAGCAATACATATATACATATAGGGGCAATATGATGCCTCAAATAGTTTTTGAAGACAAGCAGTCCAAATATTATAAATCAATAATATTTACATAACATAAATCTAGAATAGTTCAAAGGACTTTCCTCTAGAAACAAAAGAACTCACCTACAAAGACCAAAAAAAAAAAAAGGAAAAAAATCATAAAACAAAAAATTCATGTAATTTAGATTTTAAATACTCTTCTTTGAGAAAAGTGGCATCATCTCTTTATCCACATCACAGCAGACATGACTATTCCAAGTTTAGGTGTTGAATCTATCATATTAAAGCAATCCCATTTTGTGAACATGTCAGCTGCTGAATCCTGTGGATTCAGAAGGATAGTAGAAACTACAGTTATAAATTACTTTAACTTGTTCTACTATTTTGAAATGGCAGGGGAATTTCACCTTTGCAATTTCGGAAATACCTGCCTTCCAAAATCTCATTTAGTAGGAAGGCAGTCAGTAGGGGTTTTACCACGACCTGCTCTGCTTCTCATAATAAAGGAATAAGTGAAATTAGAGAAAGAACTGAATGAGAAGAGGCAGGGAATGAAAGAAGAATAAAAAGAGGAAGAATAAGGAAAAAGTAAGAGAGTGAACATATAATTTAAAAAAATTTAACAGAGGGGGTCTGGGGATTTACCTCAGTGGCACCATGCCTGCCTGGCAAGCACAATAGTCCTGAGTTCAATCCCCAGTAACAACAACAACAAAATTTAACAGAAGGAATAAAGTGATGCCCAGGAAAAAGGAAAACAGTCAAAAATCTCTCTCAGGACACAGTAATAAATTTATCAAACAACCTGAATAATTATACTAACAATGTCATTTTGAAATAAATCCAAACTCAAATTATTCCTCTGAAGAATTATCATCTCTATTTTAGAAATAAAGAAACAGAGGCTTTGAAAAGTGAACATGCTTAAAGTTAAATAAAAGGCAAAATATTGGTTTGTCACTGCTTTACAATTAGTCAAGATTACTAAGAGTATTCATATTTGCAAAAGACGCACCATATGCTCTTTTAAAAACCCAACACTGCTATTACATTCAAAATCACTGGATTTATAAGGAATTTGTCTAACTCCTATAGGTGGTTTGTATGTAAGTCAGGACACAAAGACATTAGCTGTCTTTCCTACACAATAAAAATTTTTCATTCAAAATTAAAGCACCACTTTGCTTTCCAGAGGTATCAAATTTTAATTCAAATGATTATGAAGCATTAAAAACTATTTACCCACCATATATAAGCTGGTAACACACTGTGTTGTATGAACTCCTGTTCTTTGCACAAATGGCAATTTTAAAAAGGCAAAATCCACTCTGATAGTGTAGACAAATACAACCCATCAATACTAAGCATAGTAAAATGTAGTACTTTATACAAGAGAAGCACATGGTCAAAACTGCCAAATATAAATGGAAATCTAAAGACTCTATTAGGCTGCTGGCAATGCTTTCAAAGAGAACAGTTTTTGTCCACATCTGTAGTTTTCTATAAGAAGCTATAATCCACAATATTCAAGACCTAAACATTTTGATCCATTCTTGAGCTTCTAAACTACTAGTTAACTTATGTGGCAACTGCAGGCAGGCTGGTTCTGGCTTGGCTAAACAGACTTTGTCTATAAGTCTCTTAAGGATTTGGTTGTCCATCTGAATTACTCTACAATTGGGCTTTATTCAGCCATTTTACAATAACTTCACAACCCTTCATTAATACAAATGTAATAATCACTAATTGGGAGTACTTTTGAGTTGTTTTCTAGCATGCTTCAATAATTTATGCTACTTATTCTGTTTCTTAGCTGACCTTCTGACCCAAAGATTACCTGGAACTAGCAATGCCAAATTGTGACAATGAACAAAATACTCTTCAGGTCATGTGAGAAAGGACAAATAATGTAGACGTTATTAGCCTGCTAAAGTGAATGTTATTTTCCAAGATAAAATATATACATGTAATTGCTCATATCTTCCTTCTGATGATACATACAATTTAAAGAATATAGTTAAGAGCTGATTCAGTAACCACAAAGGGGGAAAAAAATGGGTGAGAAACAACAGATGTTAGCTATTAATGTAATAAAATTAAAAATCAAAGCAAATGAAAAGCAATTCTGAGTCAGACTTTACAGCACTTTTTTTCCTTTTGGCATTTAATTTCTAATAAATGTATACAGTAAAATTAATAGAACTTTAACACTAGTTATAAAGGAATACTAAATAAGACACTAAAAATGACCTTTTCTTTCTTGGCAGTGATAGCATTATTGAAAACTAAAAAGTAAATCTATGCAAGCTAATAATTAGCTTACCTTTAAAATGGACAAAACAGAAAAGGACCTAAAACCAATTGTTGGCCTATGACTATTATCCAACAACCTATGAAGCATACGTACCATCAGGGACAAAAAGTGATGATGTGAGGCTTAAACTGCTTCGATTTTTCTAATGTGTACCCAAGGACACAGCTGCAACTGCTCAAGGACTAGTTATGGACTCAGCTGTGCAGCAAAATGAACATACCTTTGAAAGCTTCTTTTGGAATCTCCCAGCATCTACTAATCTCACAAAACACAGTTCTACTTAGTGAAGAACTCTACTCATACTAACAAATTAAGGGGAGGGCCAGGGATTTAGCTCCGTGGTTCCAGCGCCTGCCTCGCAAGCACCAGGTCCCAAGTTCGATCCCTGGTACCAAAAAAAGAAACTAAAGAAAACAAATTAAGGGGAATGTTTTAACTTTCTAAGGATTAGGATATTTTAGAAAATAGAGCCTAGAAGAATGCTTGATTCAGTGTCATATACTGCTAATACTGGCTCCTGGAGAGTTATGGGAGATATTCTGGGAAGAAAATCCTGTCAGTTATTGTACCACAGGGATAGCCTACTTACTTAATAAGATAGCACTGATTACTGTATTAACACATTCATCCCATTCACGTTTTGAAGTGTAAGGTATGGTCCTGGTGCTGAAAGCAAATATAGTATTAGGTCAAAATTCTCGGTTATATAAATGTATGTTGTATATGCTTGACTCATACTTAACTTTCACTGGCGAATAATTATTCCAATTGAAATTAATCTCACTTCTCAAGAATAGACATACTATTACTTCATGTAAATTCATGGCAATATTTTTAACATGTTATTGAAATAGTATACAATCTTTGTTATTCTATTTCAATACTTTATCAATGATATCTGTATTTTTCAAGTCCCCAATTTAACATATCCAAGTATAGAAAATAGACTACACAACTTGAGCAGTTTTTTTTGTTACAACTGTAAGGAGAATGCTAAAAGCAGAAAATATAAAATGACATATTTTACCCTAGTCTTAGGTGCAAATAATAAAATAGAAATTCATTGATTCATGTAAATAAAATATTACCTCAAAAAAGGCCTTACTGCATGCACAGTTATAGATAATAGTGCAAATTAAATAATTATATAATTACAATATCCACAAAACTATCTCATTCATTACTCAATTTTAATAGCTTCTTATAATTTTATGATTATTCTGCAGAGGCTGAAATTGATAAATACTATTAAAATCAAAAGCCCTCTAGTACATTAAAATAATACCAATGCCATTATGATTTCATATGAAAAAAATCAATGTTTTAAACATCTTCATTTCTTCACATAAGTGATTATGAAAATTTAACTGAGAAGAAAAATATAGTAATAGGATAGTCCATTAATTAGAAAATATACTGAGATAAGTCAATGTCAGTTTTTTTAAAGAAACAATACACTCAAGAGCACTTACTCTTCTCCACTTGAATAGGAAAGTGATACAAAATTAGCATCTGACTCCATAATTCCATTACTTACTACACTTCTAAGTGCTTCAGTATCTCCAAAAGTACACCTGTCATTGTTTTAATATACATACATCCATCCATTTGTACACACACACGCATTTTATACTTGTAGGAGAGTGTAGTTATTTTTCTTCTTGAGAAGACATTACAAAATGAAGCACAGAAATCAAGAAAACCTCACAGGCAAAATTTTAGGACATCTGAAATCATTTTGCCTGGGTTGTAATTCAAAGACAATGACAAATGTTAGTCACAAGAAAAAAGCAGTAGAGATATAAAATATGAAAAGTCTTTAAAATTCAGACAGCAAATATAAAAACAGACAAGTGAAGGCTTGAAGAGATATTTAAAGAAATGAGGTATGATGGAGTCAGTGCTACAATATATCTCAATGTATCAAATTAATAACTTTTCTTTCAAAGCTGCAAAGTCAGCAAATCATAAACTATTTGCTGCTGTGTTCACATGAACTTTCTGGTCAAATGTTTAATGATCACTGATAATACATTTAAAATAAGCATGAAAGCTAACTGATGACAAGGTAAGCTTGCCTGCACATAAGAAGACAAATTATAAGTAAAAATGTAAGCAAACAATTTTGTATTAATAAATACAGCTTCAAGCATTTAACATTATCAATATTTTAAAAATTTAAATAAATGCAACTATTTTATATAGAACTGTACTATTTATTATACACACAGGTATATCAGTTCCCTTTGTTTAGAAAGGCTGGTTGTAAATAATATGGAATGTTACAGTACCATCTTGCATAAAATTTTAGTACAATTTTGCACTTGAAAAAGGGTGGAAAAATACCAGCCTAATAAATCTGAATTGAAATATCTTTTCTTTCATTAAAAAAAGTACATCATTAACACATACACCACAAACTGTACATAAGCTCACTTTTGAATCACCAATTAAAAGATATGGTAGCTATTTTGTGGTACTAACTCCCTCCCACCAGTTTAACTCATTAAAGGCTCACAGAGCTACTCATTCAGAAGTGTTGCTGTGTAAGCTTATAATATGAATTATAGAACCCAGGCAATTACAATTTAAAGGTGGCAAACAACAGCTGCCAAGAATTTTTTTGTAATAAGAAATGTCCTTCTTATAGAAGACTCAGGAACATTCTTAAGGATATCTTTCTTCCTTCAAATATATTGTAGATGATCAAGATTCTCCATTTTGAACTTTGGATGCTGGTGGATGCATGAAATCCTTAAAGGGAACCAGTGCCTCTTTAAGTGCAGAGCAGACTTCCGAAGATGAGCAGGTGATGCATTCTACTAAAGTTGGGTATAAGGCAATTACTTGGGCCCAAGTATTCCCATCAACTGTAATGTAAGAAGTACAAAAATATCGAAATAGGATAGATTTAAACAGTAAAGATTATCCAATTAACATAAACACAATCAATGTTAAATGCAATGGAAGGAAAAAATCTGAAACATGCAGGTTTTACCATCTGGTTTCTTCTTTTTAAAAAATCTTTGGAAGATTTTCTGCTATATTTAATAAGACATGGGAAAAAACATATGGTTGTTGTGTAGAGTTCTCAATACCAACAAATTTGATAAGGAACATTTTAAATGATAATTTGTGAAAGCTCTGGAAGCCAATAAAGTAACTTAGAATAATCCAAACCTTTGCTATTTTCAGTGTAGTTTCTAAAGAATGTAATGTACATTGAAGAATAGTTAGAAAAAATTTCTTTATTCAGTTGTCTACTAAAAATACAAATACTGATTTTCCCAGTAATATCCTTGATACTAATTTCAATTTCAAATTACCAAACACAGATCTAGTTACAGTCATACCTTGGCATTCATCTGCTTTGAAACTCATCAAATCTGATATGCAATGGATTTTGATGTGAAAATTTTGTTCCAGTACTCTTTTTGTTTTGTTTTGTTTAGAAGCCCAAGCTAGAACTTGTCAATGTCAATGTCAACTGCCTCGCTACTCTTTCCAGCCAAAACAATTTGGTACCTCTTTTTTTTGGTACTCATCAAGACTCTCAGAACGAGTTAAAAGACAAATTCCAAGGTACCACTGTATCCTTCTCTTATACTGTTTCCTAATCTTTAATGTAAATCACTAGAGTAGACTCTGGTGAAGGGGGACCAAGTCTGACTTTCTCACCATTATCATGACCAACCAGTACAGCTAAAGGTTATGTATTGATTGGGCAAAAATATTACATCTCAGTCAGTTAGTAGTCTCCATGTACTCCGAGATCACATATTACATTTTTGTTTTCTGAGCACTCACACAATGAAACATCCTGATAGATTTTATGACACTTTGTGGAATGAGTCTCAGATCTGGGAGGCAGTACAGTATAAAAGAAAGAATACTATGAAATGTGCAAAGAGTTTGATTCTGTTTTTTACTCTAATTTATTGGGTGCCAACTATACAAAGTTCCTTCTGAAATAAGGCAGTGCTATGTCCCTGGTCAAGTCATTCATTTACCTTTATTGCAACTTCTGCTGTAGAATACAAGAATGAGTTACTCAAACTAGTACTTTATTTACATATTTTTTAAAAAGTTCCTGGTCAAGTAAGTGTGGCAGATGTTGCATATATCTCTCCTTTTGGGGACTAATAATTCAAATGAATTTATTGAGTGTTTATAATAAAAGATCAGATTTAGGGGTAGGGAAAGTGGGAGGGGAAGGGGAAAGGAAAGAAGGGAAAGGAAAAATTATGAGAAAAGGAAAGAATGGAAACAAAGTCTTTGTAAATAGGGAAGGGTGGAAGAGGTAAAGGGAGTACAGGGAATGGGGAAAAAATAAGACCAAGATACATCATGTACAGGTACAAGCACCCAATGACAAATGTAAACATATTGTATACCTAAAATGTACCAATAAAAGAATTTAAGCCAAAAAAAAATCAGATTTAAATTGCTCAAATCCAGGATTTTAAAAATTAATAAGATTACAGAATTTTTTACACCCAATATTGAACATGACTCATAATTAATGTTTATTCCTTGGTATATATCTTAGAAAATCATGACTTGCTCATTAAGCCTCTTTTCTCAAACAGGTACTTCCTCAGAGTAGGGGTAGAAAGAAGAAAGGGGATGGGGCTGAAGGGTATCAGTGACAATGGGAAATACCAGGCTAGAGTGGTTTTGTTTTTATCTGTTTTATATGTTAGGAATTCATATCATATTTAATTTGTAAAAACAACATTGCTTAACAGAAAAGAAACCAATATAAGTCTAAAATACCACTGGTCTAGGAAGTTTAAATACTTTGCTCCAGCTGAGTTTTGTTTGTTTTTTGTGACCGAGTCTCATTCTATAATTCACACTGGCCTTGAACTCACTATGGAGCCCAGGCTGGCCTTGAACTGGAGGCAATCCTCCTGCCTCAACCTCCGAGCGCTGGGATTACAGGAGTGCATCCCCACACCAGGCACTCCAGCTGTCTTCTGTGAAACTTTCCATTTTAATCATTTAACACAAGCTTATGTACAGTGAAACTTATTTAGAATGCCTACATGGAGAATTAACTGACAAACCAATTCTTTATTATAGGAAAATACAGAAACACATGAAGATACTATCTGAAATAAAACTTAAAAGAAGCTTTTCAAATTCCTTTAATCAAAATATTTTTTTAAAGTCCACCATAAATTTCTATGGGGACTTTATATTTGACTATCAAAAAAAAAAGAGCTGAATGTATTTATGAGAAAGTATCTCCATGAATTCCATCAAGTGAAAAAACAAGAAAAAGGAGGTTCAGAACAGTAGGTATGACATAGTGCTATTGTGCACATTTGTACATAAAACTGAAGGCACTGAAATACAGTGGACCCTCAAGTTATGACTGGCCTGACATACAAACAACTTGGATGTATAGACCAGAATTTTACTTTTAACTTATGACCAAAGTCTTGAGTTATGACCTGAATGCTGGCCGCTTGTGCTTCTAGATGGTCTCAGATACAGATTTAACCCTTAATGAGTTCTGGAAGGAATATTACATCCTTTCCTGTGTGAGGTTAATTGAGAAATCCTAGGCCAGTCTCTTTCTAAGGATATCGAGATCTACAAGGAACAAAGTGTGGTCTAAAATTATACAGGAGAGAGACTTTGAAGGCTGTGTAGAAGAGCCTAACCAACTTGAGTTACAACCAGCTCTCATGAACGAACTGAGTTCATAAGTCAAGGGTCCACTGTATATATTTTATGTTTACATAATAAACTTCTGTAGGGAAGTGTGAATAAAAATGGCTGCTTGTGGTGAGGTAAGAACTGGGCAGATACTGAATAGGGGAAAGACCATCTTAAAACTTTTGCCTGCCTGCCTGCCTGCCTGTCTGTCTGTCTGTCTGTGTGTCTGTCTGTCTGCCTGCCTGCCTATCCATCCATCCATCCATCCATCCATCCATCCATCCATCCATCCATCTATCTATCTATCTGCACTGGGGACTGAACCCAGGGTCTTTACATCAGTCCCTCATCTGTCTTTTTTTAGGGGAGAGAGGAAAACAGAGAGCCTAAGTTATTAAGGTGCCCAGGGTTAGTTTGAACTTGCAATCCTCCTGCCTCAGCCTCCCAGATTGTTGAGACTACAGGTTTACAATACCATGCCTGGCTTCTGTTTTTGGATTTATGTGTATACATGCTATCTATTCCAATTTTCAAAGATCAAGTAAAATGATATTTTAAATCATTTTAAATGATTTTTAAAACAAAATTCCCCCAAACAGAATAGTAAAAAAAGTCTTCATTCCCACTAAAAAATCTTAAAATTATAATAAAAGTTTTAAGTAGATTTGAAGTGTATTGGCCCTAAACATTAAATCTAATCTCCTGAATTAGACTGGCTATGTACAATCCAACATATTTCTGCTGGTAAGACCTTGTTTTCTTGTCTTTTTTCTTTCTTAATGAGGCTTATCATAGCTTTCTAATACAATATCATCATTTACAGTTTCATTTCATTTAAATTTTCACTTCATATGATCAAAGGCATAATTCTAACTCTCTAAAACTGTTTTAAGATTAATTTAGATTATCCATCATTATTACACTGCTCTATCCATAGCCCAATGGCTTTGTAAGAAGTTACTGAGTGTTCCTTCTTTTTATTCCCTTTATATGTATAGTTTTAAATTCTTGACAGCTGTCTAAAGATTACATAAAATAATGCAAATACTACGGATGTAAATATGCTGGATATATTTAGCAGAATTCTGGCAATAATAAAGAAAATACAATAAATATAGCTTCAACCATTTAACATTAGAATAAAATTTCCTGGTCTTTAGGATTTCAATGCATGGTCTTCCTTCTCTGAAAAATCAACTAAAATGTTTAAAAAAAATTTTTTTTTTTTGGGGGGGTGGATGAATTCAGAACATTGCTCTAGACTTTTCTTAGACATTTTACCTTATCTTCCCCTTTAAAAAATTCTTTTACTGGTACATTTTAGGTATACAATACATTTATATTTATCATTGGGTGCTTGTACCTGTACATGATATATCTTGGTTCTTATTTTTTTCCCCACTACCTGTGCATCCTTCAACCCCTCCACCTTTCCCTATTTACATAGATTTCATTTCCATTTTTTTCTTCTCTCATAATTTTTCCTTTCCCTTCTTTCCCTTCCCCTTTCCCTCCTACCACCCTACACCTTTGGACCTTTTAATATTTCAAATTATCAATTATTCATTTTAATCATTTTAATCCTTATTTATACTTTCAGGTTCTCACACTAGAGAAACTATTCGGTATTTACACATGTGTGTCCTATTTATTTCACTTAAGAGTATGGCCTCAATATGCATCCATTTAGCTATAAATGTCTCTAGTTTCTCATTCTTTATGGTTAAGTAGTACTCCATTTTATAAGGAAACCACATCTTCTTTATTCAGTCTCCAGTTCATGGGCACTTGTTCTGTTTCCAAGCTTTAGCTATTACAAACTTTGCCCCTGTAAACATGGATGCACATATATCGCTGTGGTATGATTTTTAAAATTCTTTTGGGAAGATACCCAGCAGGGGAATAGCTGGGTTAAATGGGACCTCTAGCTCTAGTTCTCTGAGGTATCTCCATACTGATTTCCAAAGTGGTTGCACCAGTCTGCACTCCCACCAATAATGCCCTTCTCCAGTCTCTGGGTTAAAGAAATAAAAGTAGAATGCCTCAAGATGTAGTATAATATCCTTTTTAGGTCAAAGTACCAACAGGTGAATTTTGACAGGAATTTACACACTGCTATTAAGTTATTAGTCAATTACTGAAAATTTCCTTTATTTTTGGGTATTAAAAGTAATGTTGCCTGGGGATGCAGATGTAGCTCAATGATAGAATGCATGTCTACCATGCATGAAGCCCTGTCTAGGTCTGAATCCTAGCACCACAAAAAAGTAAAAACAAACAAACAAAAAAACAACCAATAATGCTGCTTAAAGTGCTAGTCTGTGAAAAAATAAGCTCATGATAGAATGTAAATCAATACACTATTATCCTCTTTAACATAGTCTTGTGAAAAAAAAAAGCTGAATTAAACAGTGTGTTTAGTAACACAATTGATTTATATTCTGATACAAACTATTTGTCTTAGCTCCCTAACAAACTCTTAAGACCAGTAGCTGGACCAACAAACCACACTTTTTGAGAAGCAATCTTGTAGCGAATTCATAGTAGTACAAACATTGTCCAAAAAGCCTCTCAAAATAATTACAAGGTAAGAAAGGGGAGGTGAATCATGTACATATCTAACTGCAATAATACAGTGCTTCAAAACAAAGGTACATATAAAAGTGCTTATGAGCTCACTGAAAAGAGAAATCATATGCCTTTAAGAGATTAAGAACAAAGCTCAAAAGTGGCGTGGTATTTGAACTAGGTGGATATAGGCAGTAGATGAAAATAAGTGAAAGGTTGGAAATACTTGGGAACTTCGAGAATTTTAATTTAGTGAAAACAGCAGAGTAAATGAAACCTAGTGGGAAATAAAGCATGAACAGAATGGAGTTAGACTGTAGTACTCAGCAATTTGGTAGGAAATGGCAAATGAAAATGACTTTTTAATTGTGTTTTGAGGGGAGAGGGAAATGAATGATCAAAGTCATGCAGTGAAAAAAATCATTTCTGAGAATAATGTAAAGAATAAATTAAATAGAAATGATCAACACAAAGGGAAAATAAATGAAAAAGAACTATAAAAATGACTCTAATTTAAGAACTATAAAAATGATTCAAATTTATTTATATAGCTTATATTTATAAAGTAGATCAGTAAAAGTAGATGAAAGCTTTCTCATCTATTCCAAAAGTCAGTGATCTTCCACATTAAAAATAATGAAAGCTGGTGATTTAGCTCAGCGGCACAGCCCCTGCCTCTCAAGCTCAAAGTCCAGAGTTCGATCCCCGGTACCAAAAAAAAAAAAAATGAATCGTCCATGCAACATCAAGAATTCAAACCAATTTATTTTTTTTCATAAATTAGCTAAACTGCTGTTTAATTTTACTTAATTGATATCCTAATGGAGTTGATGTTCTGCTGTCATGAAAAGTGGAGGAAAGAAAGTCTAAGGGAGGGTGGGGGATTTAGCTCAGTGGTTCTGCCACCTGCCTCGCAAGCACAAGGTCCCAAGTTTGATCCCTAGTATAAAAAAAAGAAAGTCTAAGGGCTGTTATGTTCCTAAAATTCAGCTAAGTAATACAAAATACTATGAGTAACTACTTTTAAGATTATGATATAGTATATTAACTATTGTTATTCTCATATTTCATTATGAATTTTAATTTTCTTAAAAAAAGAACGTAAATGTTACAAATTTTAAGATAACTGAGTTTCTAAGCACTTACCATTCTCTGGCTGAGTTTTCTTAAGTGAATCAATGAGAGTGCTGACTGCTTTTAAAACAAATATGATTTCTGTTACTTGTTGCCTAAAAAAAGGGAAATGGTTTCTGTCAAGATTGTTAAATATGCCATGCACATTTTTTTAAAAAATAAGGTTTGTACAAGTAAACTGAAAAAATACTGAACACAACATAAAGTTAAAGTTTGTTTTAAATTCTTATAAAAGGAAAAAGCATTTCATACATGTTAAAAGGACATATAAATTTATATACTTCAGTATACAAATCTGATTTGCAGTTATTCTTACCACAAATTACCAATTTAAAAGGGGAAGCACAATCTACTCACCCAAATCTAAATTTATTTGTAAGATATTCTACATAAGTACTTAAAATATTTTATTATATGTGCTTTTAAAAGTTCTCTACAATAGGTTTTTTGTTTCTTTAAAAGACTAGTACTGAAAGAAATTTGCTGAAAATTAAACATAAACATTACAATTACAACCTGGCACACACTTTACCAGGCTATTTAAAGCACAAACTTGCAGTGATACTTTTTTGTCTAACACAACAAACAAGATACATGTTAGAAATCAATCCTAAAATGGCATTATTTGAAGACCTTAACAATGAGGAATGAACTTGAAGTAAAGGATCAACAAAAATACTTTGATTCCCTTTCTTCTGACAAAAATAAAACTCTTCTGCTCTATAGTCCACCTTACTCCATTCTATCTGGGTATGAATCTGTGTTTTCATTCTATAGGTAGGAATTTTCTAATCCTATGACAGAGTACTATTTCAAGCCTTCTTTGTAACCATATTAAATATAATACTGTAATGTAGCTTTTTAGAAAACAGTTTAGTGATTCTGTACATAGGATGATATAATGTAACTGCATAGGGCAAGTATGAATAAGGCTCAATTTAAAAGCAGTGAGTAAATACTAAGAACAGAAAAAGAGGAAAGGATGCTTTCTGAAATCAAACAGTATGTTACAATCTAATAAATAAGAATATCCTACTTGAAGCAACTTTATTATTACATTTCCAAGTACACTTTAAGAATCAACTTTGATTAATCAATTTCTTGATTAATCAATTTTTAACATGCCCATAACTAAATTACTAACTATATTTGGCATGGGATTTTTTTACATATCAATTTGAAGAGGAGAGTTGCCATTTATATTCTAGAGATTCAAAATATGCTGGATTCTGAAAAAATTAAGAATGATTAATAAACATTGGTAATTAAAAATAAATAGTAGGGCTGGGGATTTAGCTCAGTGGTTCTGCCGCCTGCCTTGCAAGCAGAAGGACCCGAGTTCGATCCCTGGTACCAAAAAATAAAATAAATAGTAACTATTATATGACTATTTCTCATTCATCAAATTAGGAAAAGAAAAATGATAGACTGGTAAATCATTTAAAATGCTAAGCATGGAAGAAAGGGCATTCATACAGCCCTGGGAAAAAGTATAGAAATGTCTGAATTCTTTGACAGGTCAATTCCAACTCCAGAAATTTATTATAAAGCAAATAAGAATGTGAACAAAGTCTTAAGGCGAGTGATTTGCTTCTCCAGTAGTACCATATGGACAGAAAGCGAAATGACTTTCCTCTTTCCTGACAGATAACTTTGTCCTCTCATATTGTTTTGTTTCTTCCATTTGTTTGATGAATTCTAGTGCATACCCCAGCTTTGATTAGCCTTTGCTTAGCAGAGAGGCCTAGTGCCTCTTCCAATGAATCAGCTTGGATAGATGAGAAGGAAATCAGTATGTATAGGTCCAAGGGGCAAATTAAGTAGATTAGATAAAAAGAATATCTAATATATGGCTAGCTGACAAAGAAGCTTAGAAATAATTATATAACAACACATTCTTTGGATATGATTTATCTATTATTTTCACTGGAGAGAAATATTATGTAATCATTCAGATTCACAATTCTGTACATAAAAATGTGGTAGATGACAGGTTTTGGAATTCAAAAATTTCAGATTCAAAAAGGTAATCTGGTACATATATCATATAGCACTTAACCTCCAAGGATCTGAAAAAGTATCCCATAATAAAACACATTATTGTATCTTCGGTGAGACCTATGAATATTTACACTTTCTGAGATAACTAAAACCATAATAAACAGCCTCAGATTAGTCTAGATCACTTATGAAAACACCTGGTTTTCAGACCTCTTTGTAACTAATAATTATATCAGTAATTATTAGTAATAACTAATAATTATATCAGTAACTTTTATATTAATAAAACAAAAAAATGGGGCCGAGGATTTAGCTCAGTGGTTATGGCGCCTGCCTAGCAGGTGCAAGGTCCTGAGTTTGATCCCCAGTACCAAAAAACAAAAACAAAAAACCCACACAAACAAATAAAACAAAAAATATACCTTGGAAGAGGGCATTTACCACTTAATCTTTCATCCTCTATATAGCGATGCAGAACATCCTGAGACCTCTTTAAAAGCACTGAGAGTGCCATTCGTGAGATGTAGCCTTCTTGAGGTGTTGTGACCTTATTACTGAAGGAAAACTGAAGCAATGTTTCAAAACACATTTTAGAAAATTCTTCTCTCAAACGAATATCAATCTCTGCTTCTGTAAAATTAATTTTTGATGGTTAAAAATATTATAACAATTCTAGCAAACTAGGAATAGAAGAAAATTCTCAATCTGATGAAAGACATCTATGAACAACCTATGGCATGCATAAAGGCTGTATAACCTCATCATTTCTTCTCAACAGTTTTCTATGACTCCAACCTGCAATAATGACATGTTTTTTTCTCCTTTCCTGGCAGCATCTTTTCTGGAACATGACCTCTGCTCCATTTCTCTAGTTGTGTTGTCTAGTCATAACATGAAAGTAGTCGACAGCCATCACCCTGGGAATTGTTTCCATTCTTCCCTATGTTACATCTCGCTTCCTAGATCTCTTGCCTTCTGCTTTCTTGGTTTACCTTTTTTGTTATCATGGAGCATATTCTGAAGTATCTTCCTAAGAAACAATCTATAGAAAGTAAACTTTTTGAGACCAGCTACTTCTGCAAATGCCATTATTTCACTGTGGTGCCCCAAAAATGTGGTATATAGCAACATCACCAACACCAGAGCATTTATTAAAAATGTGAGCTCTTGGGCTGGGGATTTAGCTCAGTGGTTTTGTCCCCTGCTGCGCAAGTGCAAGGACCCGAGTTCGATCCCCGGTACCAAAAAAAAAAAAAAAATGTGAGCTCTCCATGATCCACCTTCATCTTCCTGAAACAGAAACTCTGGAGTATAGCTTATCCTCCATTATATTGCTTGTTGAAATTTGAGGATTACTATTCTATACTCGTATTTGGCCAAGTGTGACTAGGTACAAAATGCCAATCCTTTTTTATTTATAACTCTACAGTTATTGCTTTATGTCTTTAGCATCCAACATTGCTACTGAAAATTCTAATGTTATTTTGGATTTTTGAGGGGAACTATTTTATGATCTCTTTATCTCAGGTATTTTGATATTCATGATTATGTGCCTTACTGAGTATCTTTTGCCTTTCATTTGTTTGGGATTTTAAGTGACCATTTCTAATTTGGAGGTATATTTCTTCAGTTTGCTTATTTGATAATTTCTTCAGTTTTCTTGTTCTGTCTTTCTGGAAGACCAACTGTCAGATATCGGAACATCAGCTTTAGCTTATTTCTTAGCCTTCATTTACTTATTTCTTTATTCTCATATTATTCATTTTTTGGTTTTTGTTCTGTTTTCTGTATTATTTTCCAATGTTTTATTCCAACCCTTGACTGAATTTATTTCAGCTATCATGTTTTTAGTGTTTCTGAATTCTTTCTTGTTTTTATCGTTCCTTTTTCATAACATTTTTTGTTTCATAAATATGAAATCTTTTTCTCCTTTTGAACTTCCTAATAGTATTATGTTTTTACATTTTTTATGGTTTTGCATTGCATCTGCTTCCTTCTGGTTTCCTTTATTTTCTCTTCATTACTCAGTCTTTTTCTTTCACGTCTGTGAACTTTGGCATTCAGCTCATACTTTAGAGTGGAGGTCCAAAATGTTTACGGGAACTTCTGTGTTCATAAGTTGGCCCTGATTAGCAAGGAATGATTCTGTATGTATGTTGTTAAAGAGAACTCAAAGACAAAGCTGAGAAAATATTCATGCCTTATGGTAAGGTCACTGGAAAAATGGCCATGAACTTTTTTTGTCTTGGTAAATTTGTACAATAAACAGCAAGGAATATTATCAGAAAACTGCTAGAAAAATTATACGTGAAACTCAACCCTCATTTATCTTAGGATATTTGCATATAATTCTTACTGCATATTTTATTAAAATTATCTTTAAAAATTTATAATTCTTAATAAAAAGTTAACTGTATTAAAATAAGTGGACTCCAATTTTTTTCCCTCAGATTCTCATGTTTCTTCAATTTCCATGTTACTACGCCAATTTTTAAGATTGTCAGGACTAGGAAAAAAACCTAATTTGTGAAGTAAGTAGTGAGAGAGACATCTAGTGGCCAGCCTGTATATATTAAAACTGCTGTTCATAAATTCTAAGAACTGCTACACATTGCATAAATTTACAATCTTTAAATCATTTCAAAGAAAATTCTAATTATGGTTCCACCATTGCATTTATTTGAAGACAAGTTTATATAAAGGAAATAATAGCAAAAGGCAACTTATATATAAGCACTTAAGGCAGAATGATGGAATGAAAAGAACAATGAAGTTCTTTTAAAGTATGAATTTGACCTCTATCCTTTAGAATGTGATCAGTTTTTTCAACTACACTAAAGTGCTTTCACCTTCTCTAATATGGAAATACCTATCCTCACAGAAATATTTAGAAGATCAAGAAATAACATTCTAGCAAAACATTTTATACATCAGCAGCTATTCAATGCTTATTCCCTCAACAAATGTTAAGGCATCTTATTTTTTCCCAATAGTCCTGAAAAAAGCTGGTATTAATATCTTCATCTTCAAGATTATAAAACTGACACTCAAGAGAAGTTAACCAACACACCTAGTGGCAGAATATATCCCTATTTTTTCCTAAACTATAATGCCTCCCAATAATCTCTGATTTCACAAAACTGGTAACTTGCCAGCCTGTAATACTTCATCAGATTCTATAAGTGCTGTGAAATATAATTAATCATGATTTGCAAATAAACACTATACCCACCGGATGTCATATATTTTTCTTACAAAGGTTAATGTTCTATTTTACATTCTTAAAAATTACCTATCCAATTTATATTTACCACAATCACAGGCTTCACCATCTTGTCAGCTTCAAAAAAACTTCAATATTTCCTAACACCTAAAAAAATAATTAAAATAACATACCTGTAAATGAAGAGGACTGCGAATGTATTGAGCCCTTGTTAAGCATAGTCATTATCTGACCAACAAATTCCTTAGGAATAAAATTGGCATAAGGTAGTATCTCAGTGCTGATCAGCTGAACTACCTGAAAAAAGGGGAGGGTCAAACACAGTGCATATTTTTCCAGAAAATTCTAGAGTAAAATTTAAATTTCATTTTATCTTTTTTTTTTGGTACCTGGGATCAAACTCGGGTCCTTGTGCTTGCGAGGCAGGCAGCAGAACCACTGAGCTAAATCCCCGGCCCTTAAATTTCATTTTAAAGGAAAATCAATTAAAGAATCCTCCTTGATAGAGGTCCATGAATACTTTATTGTTAAGCATTAACATGAACGCTGGTCTATTTTCCCTCATTGCTCCACTTACAAAACAGTTAAATAATATTACTGTTTACTGTAACACCACTTTGACACATGCTGCTCTTCAGTGTGATAACTACAAATAGAGCTACAGAGAAAAACTGCACATGAAACTTAGCCATGTTCAAGTGAAATAGCCAAAATTAAGATTTTATTTTATTTATTTTATTTATTTTTGGTACCAGGGATCAAACTCTGGTCCTTGCATTTGCACAGCAGGTGGCAAAACCACTGAGCTAAATCACCGGCCCAAGATTTAATATTTTTTACTGCCCAAAAGTATGAATTATAAGGGAAATAAAAGCTATATGCACTTTTCTCAAACAGCTTTTCTTTTTTTACTTAAATAGCTTATTACCTAAAAATAAACTACAGGTTTTACCAATAGTGTATCTATAGTTTATTATTTTGCCCTCTAAAGAAAATGTTCACCCAAGTGTTAAAAAGGTAAATATTACACAAAAGGCAGCATTTTGTAAACATGTGATAATTTCTAGGTTTTTTAAATGTACATTTTTAAATGATTTATTTGATTTACTTAGATGTTCCCCTACCTTAAAGAAAAAAAAATCTCAGGCCCCACCACCAACAAAACAAACCTCCATTTACAATACTCAAAATGTTTTATTTATTTATTTATTTAATACCAGGAATCAAACTCAGGGCCTTGCACTAGCACTCAGGCAGGCACTGTACTGCTGAGCTGTATCCCTGGCCCAAAATGTATTCTTTGCAACCAGAGTAGTCTGAACTACGGACACCTGATTTGCCAAAGTAGAAATTAAACTCCTGAATCCATACTCACTGACTAATTGATTTACTTCAGTGAACTAACTTGCTTTTTAAACTTATGAAATAAACCCAACTAAGTATCTAGAGACATGCACATAGTACAAGACTACAACTAAGGAAATTATTTTTAAAATGTGAGTGACTAAAATCAATATTTTATCTGTGAGAATTTCAATGGTTTTTAGGTTCAATCTTTTTTTTTTTGGTACCAGATATTGAATTCGTGACCTTGGGCTTACAAGGCAGGCGCTGAAACCACTGAGCTAAATCCCCAGCCCCTTTAGGTTCAATCTTAACCTATTACATTACCTTATTCTTTCAGCAATTTTATAGTTTTTACTTTTCGACTATTTGGTTTTCACAAATGATCACAGGAAAATGTTTTAAATAGCTTTCTCACCTCAACATCAATACTTTCATTTCTTTGAAATTCTTGAATAGAGAGATTATCAGGAGGTATGCTAAAAAATATAAACAAGATATTTTTACTTTTAAAGGTAAAATACTCTGTGGAGATACAAATAGACTATATATAAACAGTATTCAAATGATAAAAAAAAATTCTATTTTCCCACCCAGGCTGGGATATGCAAACACGAAACTCCAACTACGAAAACACCTGGTCTAATCCAAAACTAAAAATCTGTAGAACTTAACTTCTTTCAGTAGTATGAAATAAAAAAGGAAAAGTAAAGATATTATATCATCTACAACTATAGCAAAAATTATCATTGTGATACCTAAATTCACTTATGTTGTAATGATTTAAGACACATCAATCAAGCTGCTAAATTATTCACTCAGGGGCAGCCCATTAATCACTAATTTGTATTAATTTCAATGCATTAAAGTTCTTTATAGTAAAAATAGAAAATATCTACCAAAAAAGAGAGGACTGACTTAAGATTTTCTAGAGCAAAAACACTGTTTTAGCAAAAGCAGAGGAAGTCAAGAGTTCTGAGAAAAACAAGATGGAGTCCAGATATTGGCTCATAAGAATTAGTAAAATGGTCATAAATTTGTAAAACAGTGAAATATTAACTATTTTAAAACAGTTGAGAATAGAATAGTAATAATTTTACAATAATAATGACAATGAAAATTTAACAGCCAGCCACTATAATAAGAGCTTTATGTGTATTAATCTCATAGGTCCACAGCAATCACATGAAGTAAATACAATTGTTCTGTAATCACCAGAAAACTGAAGCTTCAAATGGATAATAACATGCAGAACACCAAAAAGTGAATGGCAACCTAGATCTGTCTGACATTTGAGCCTATATTACTCTCTTATAGAGGTAAAAATTGTTAACGCATTTGGGTTTTAGTAGAGTATGCAGTTTTGTACCCTAGGCTACGGGGGGCAATGGACTTTGGTTTGCTTGGTTTGGATGCTTTGCACTCATTAAATATCTTTTGAGTACCAACTACTTTGAATCAGGCTTTATATGTGGTTCTGAAGATCCAGTTGTGAGCAAGCTAGACTCAGTCTTTGTATTACAGAACTTACATTCTGGTGTCTAAGACCTACGAACTTTATAACCTAGTAGTAAAAACTAGAAGGAAAATTTCAAAAACAAGTACCCACACCTAAACCAAGAGCAGGAGTTAAAAAACCACTACTAACAAAATAGCTTCATAGATCATTTTGCACCTTGAGAGATAAAAATCATGTTTAAGTTACAATGAAGAAATCTGTTTAGTAATATTAAAAGATTTGTGATGATGGCAGAGTTTAACTAATGATGGGCTATCAATAAAAAACTAACAAGCCAAGGGCCAGGGATTTAGCTCAGTGGTTCCACCGCCTGCTGCGCAAGAGCAAGGACCCAAGTTCGATCCCTGTTACCAAAAAATAACAACAACAACAAAAAACTAACAAGCCAAGAATTTATTAGAAACACACTAATAATATTAATGCTATTTGCATCATATATCAGAAATACTGAAGTGGGTTGTTAAAATATGAAGAAATAATAGAGCAGCACACAAAACTAAAAACTGAAAGGTTCATTCTTAATTCCAACAATCCATAAAATCAGTAAATTATTTTGCTTAACATGAATATTCTGATGCCAGAACCCAAACTAATGCTTTTTAATTTAGTATCCTTACTAAAGCATATCAAAAAACATTGGTTGAATCTTAAAATGCTGATTAAAATAATTTACCTATAAATTATAAGGGAGATGGCCAAGTTTGAAGAGTACAGCAGTAATTTTTTAAAAATTTATTTCATGAATGAAAAGGTTTGGGCAAAGTGGCACATGCCTTTAATCCCAGCTACTGAGGAGGCTGAGGCAGGAGCATCACAGTCAAGGTCAGCCTGGTCAACTGAACAACAGCAAGAACTTGTCTTAAAATAAAAAAGACTGGAGATGCAGCTCAGTGATAGAGCATCCCTTGGTTTCATCCCCAATACCACAAGCAAACAAACAAATCAAATAATATAAAAAACCTTCAAACTAATAAAGTATTATACTTTTTGTCAGTTTTCTCTGTATGGCATATTACAATTTTTGTAACTGAGATGATTCACATTCTATAAAATTCACCTGTTAAAAGTGTACGACTCAGAAGTTTTAGTATATACATGAAGTTATACAACCATCACCATTTTAATTCCAGAACATTTTTATTGCCCCCAAAAGAAACTCTGTACCGATTAGCAGCTACCACTCTCCCACCCCTACCCTCTTGCTTTTCTCCAACCTTTGAGATCTAATAGTCTATTTTCTCTTTTTGTGGAGTTGCTTATTTTGGATATATCATAAAAATTAGATCATACAATAGTATGGTCTTCTGTGTCTAATTTCTTCTACTTGTTTTGAAGGTAAATCCATGTATAGCATCCTTCAGTACCTCAGTTCTTTTTATGGCTGAATAACATATGTATACACATAAATATATCCTATATTTAATTTATTCACTAATCAGCTGACAGACATTTGAGCTATTTTTCTTTTTAGCTATTGTGAATAATACTGCTATAAATATTAGCACACAAGTTTTTTGTGTGAACATGTGCTTTCAATTCTTTTGGACAGTACTTAGTGATTTTTTTTTTTAAAGAGACTATGTCTTGCCTACATTGCCCAAACTGGTCCCAAACTACTGAGAGGTCAAGTGATCCTTCTGCCTCATTCACCCAATACTGTTCCTAAGACTACTGGTGCACACCAATGTGCCTGGCTTAGTACTCAATGATTTTTAATGTACCATTCACAGGGCATAAATTATACAATGTCCCATTAGCCTACTGTATCTCCTGTAAGTCAAGTACCATGCTTTGGTATTCAATGTTTTATAGTTCTCATATTTTTCAATTTTGTGGGGTTTTTTATTTAAACTATGTACTTATGACAGCCATTGATGATGTCCAAAGCCATTCTTTTCTTCTAGTTGCTTATTTTATCTGTATTGTCTTTGTTATTGTATTCTCTTACCAAAGCAACTTGGAGAACAAAAGAGTTGGGAAGTATCACAGAGAAATATATGGTTATTCAGAGGGTCGTAGAGCAAGTATAAATTATGTTAAAGGATTTAAGAAAATACCAATATAAAAAAATACTGATTTCCTAAAATTGTTTTCCTCTTGTACTTCCAAATGAGCCTCAGATTAAAAAATGTATCTTACCTTCATTAAGTTAAAAATCAGTTACTTAATTATGATGGATTCATATGGTCTTACAGATAAGATTCCTGCCTTACAACCAAAAACACTGAAAAGAACAAGGAACTCCACTGCTCATGGATAATTTATCTAATGGATAAATGCCTAAACCAAAGTAGTCTGTATAGAACCTAGCAATCTTACTAATCCCTTTGTTTACAAGTGGTTTTTTTTTTTTTGGTACTGGGGATTGAACTCAGGACCTTGTGCTTTCAAGGCAGGCAGTGGAACCACTGAGCTAAATCCCCAGCCCTAATCGCTTTGTCAATGAATCAAGATAAAAACTGTTTTCAGAGCAACTGTAAATATAATGTGCTACTTCTTGAAAGACTGTCTTATCTTTAAAAAGTAATAAGCTTGGGGCTGGGGATTTAGCTCAGTGGCACCATGCCTGCCTCCCAAGCTCAAGGTCCTGAGTTGGATCCCCGGTACCCCCCACCCCCCCAAAAAAGTAATAAACTGACCTTTTAGTAAAAAGAAAGTCTTCAAAAGTGTTGGCTAGTTCTGGCCACATACTGTCAAATTTTCCAGAAGAAGCATGTTGCCGGGCAACAGGGAGCCCAATAGAAAGAACTTTGAGGAGAGAAGATACTGCTAGTTTCCATGTGCTTTCAGAAGGACAGGAATACTTCAAACTGAGAGGAACCCTAAGAGTCTGAAAATAAAGATGGTTTAAGACAAATATTAATTAAAACAAACACAACTTTACTTTAAAACAAAATGCTAAACCAGAGAGAAAAAATAACAGCATAGGTATTTTCATTGGGAAAAGGTATTATTTTCTAGAATGATTCTCACACATGGTCCTCAAATCCTACTTCTTAGAAACATATACCTTTATTTATTGGGTTCTAGAAATTGAATCCAGGACCTTGCACATGCTAAGCACATGCTCTATCACTGAGGTATATACCCAACTACAAGAGATCTACTATTAAATTCTATTTCCATCTTTTAAACAATGACTGAATAAATAACTTTTGAACCTCAGTTTTTCATCACAAAAATAGGGATATTATCTAAAAGAGTAAAAGTAGGAAACTTAGAATTTTGTAGCTTTGTAGACATATCCTGTGACTGCTCTAAATGGAACTTCTCAATATTTCTTGAAAATACACCATGATCTTTTATACTGCTTAATTCACTTATAATGCCCTTTTTCCCATTCTTACATAGTAAACTTTCGCTCCTCCACTGTTACTTCTATATTTTTCCCCCAAATCCCATTAGCAGTTCAATTACTTTTTTTGCCTATGGTGGAGAACTAACATTTTTGTTCAGCACTGGCTACCTGGCAAAGCAAGCATCATTAAGTAAATATTCAGTGAACTCTCTTTATTATAGTTAAGACATAAATGCTATTAGTATTATCTTTCACAAATAAACACTCTCAATCAAGTCCATTTACCCAAAATTATAGAGCAGCAAGTAAACAGCAGAGCACTGTTCCAAGTCAGATCTAGCCATAGAAAAAACTATCTCCACTCTGGTCTTTGCCTAGCATTCAACATGCTACATTTACTACTTGTTTGCCTTTCTCTCTTCTCTTTGTGAATTATTAAAGATAAGAATTACCAGATTCATTTTCTAATTTCTAGTTTCTAGTTAGAACCTGGTAATAGAGATGCCTAAAAATATATTCAATAAATGAAGATAGAGGGGAGAATTTTGGTAAGGTATATGGTGGGGGAAAAGAAAGAAGCATCTCAAAACTCGAAGAAAGATTTTTAAGAAGGCAGGAGTACTACCATTTAATAGAGAAGATAAAGAATTAGAAAAGGACTTTGGATATGAAGATTTGGGCTTTTGGAACTTGAGCAAGCAATTTCTACAGAGCAATGACACAAGTCAGCATGCAGTAGGTTAACATTGAGTGGTGGCAAGGTGAACTTCAAGCTGTTTAATGGGATTTGGAAGTAAAGGAAAGCTGAAAGACAATGGTAATTTCAGTAGCAAATAGAGTTAAGAGAAAGTTATTTGTAGCATAAAGTATAAAATTCTAAAAAAGAATCATCAATAAAGAAAGGTAGGATGAGGGCCGGGGATTTAGCTCAGTGGTTCTGCCGCCTGCCTAGCAAGCACAAGGTCCCGAGTTCAATCCCCAGTACCAAAAAAAGAAAGGTAGGATGAATGAGGAATATACATATAGAGAAGGATGAATCTTAGAGCAGAGAAAGGCTCTCTTGAGAGAAAAACTCATATTGGCTTGTATTTATTTAGTAAATAGAAGGTACACTGACATGCCAGAGAAAGAGTAAAGTTTAGGTTTGTCTTTCAAAATAGAGAGGAAAACAAGAAATAAGAGGAATGGGACATAATTAACTGGAGATTAATTTTTTAAATGTCCAAATGGTAAGGAACTGGCTTAAAACAACAAAATAGTCTGCATGATCAGTTAAATTGATGGGCTGCATTGTGAATTTCCTCTTGAACCTTAGTCAACCTTGAAGTCTGAGGAATACTGTCCTAAGAAACAGGATCCTCATTGTTCTACTGGCAAAATTTAAGAAATATAATAAACCTACTGTACTTGTTTTAAAATATTTTTCATCAGAAAGACCTTCTCATAGTTTAGAAAAATGGCTTGGTAAATACAATTCATGAGTGTTGAATAGGGTCATTATAAATGATACAAATAATCCCTACTTATCTCAAAATAATGATATATTACCTAAAGAATATATCATTTCAGTAATACTGCCATCATCAAATAAAAGTGTAGAAATGAAAAAAAATACCTTAATTATATTCTGGAGAACTTTCTCATTCACCACTGCTTTATGACAGGCTGTTTTTTGGTATAAATCCACAACTACTTCTAAAGACTTTTCAGCAAACGGTACATAATTCAACGCTACCCATTCTGCCTAGAAAGTAATATTTTCACATGGAGTTAAAGATAAATGAGATCAAAGGAAATCATATTGCTTTCAAAGAGAAAGCTTCTTTGTCTTACAAGTTCAGGCCTCGGTTTTAGGTCAGATTATATAACATGCAGTTTTCAAATATCTCTTCATGAAAAATAATTTTCACCCAGGGAAAAGTTAAAAATTATCAGAAAAAGAATATATAGAGCATTCTATGAAGAACTGGGAAAGATGTATTTTATTTGTTGCCAATAGGTTAGGACAATTTTAGGAAATTTAACTCACCGGTGCAAATAGTTGGATCTATTGTGATTCCATTGTGTTGCAAGACAAATAGAATGAGAAAAGTTAATACATATTGAAACTACTTTTTGGATTATATAATATTATAATTTTTATGTTGAGTGAACAAAATCAGCATGTGCATGCATTCAGAAATTTACTTTTCCCCTAAGCCAAAATAAAGTTAAAATTTGCCTATTATGACTACAAAAATATTTTATATAAAATCCAACTAAATTTCACACCAGTAGTGCACAACTTCTCATTCAGTACACACAGATTTCTTCATCTTGTATTGTAGATAAACATTTTAGGTAAGTTTAGGTTTAGGGGTTTATAAGCTATTTTCTAGCGGGATGGGGCAGCCATGAAAAAGATACAAAGGAACTTATATTTTTCAAGAAATATGTACTGCAGGTTAGCATAAAAGGTCAACATTCTGAACGACCATTTAAGAAAGGAAAGTCATAAATAAGAGAAAAGGAACATAGAAATGGTTTGCCAAATGTATTTTTGTTAGGCTTAAACTATTAACAGATGCATATAAACTTGTGTGTTAATAAAAAAACAGTTTTGAGAAAATCAAAGCCCATCTTAAGTGGAACTATTTATAGGCCATGAAGTCTTACAAAATAAATATAATTTATACTAAATTACCTGATTATATTTTGCATTTGCAATGTGCTTTGTTTCTAGTTGTCCATACTGTGGAGGTTTACAGGAAAATTCTACAAATGCCAACAACTGGTCAAATATAGCTGGATACATTATCTGCATGTTTTCTGGTCCTACACAGATGGCCTATAAAAGCAAAATAGAAACATTAGAATGCATAATCTGAACTCCAGTAAATTTTTTACTGTGTATGCACTGGTTTAACCAAAGTAAGGACTGTACTATTCTGGGTATCATTCCATCTTTTATATACCTTATAGAACATTCAAACTATCTAAAACTATTATTAAATAAAGTATAGCCTGAAAGTGTTAACTAATGACCCATAACCCAATCCCCAGAACTTGTGAATATGCAATCTTTCCTGGGAAGAGAGACTATGCAGTTGTGATTAGGTTAAGGATCTAGAGCTGGGGAGATGCCGCTGGATTAGCTAGATGGGCTCTATGTAACTGCAAAGCTCCTTATCAGAGGGAGGCAAGATGAGAGCCAGAAAAGGGGGATACAGAGACAGAAGGAGTAACTTGAGTCACGTACTTTAAAGATGGCGGAAGATAGCATGAGCCAAAGAATGCAGTCAGCCTCAAAAAGCTAGAGAAGCTCAAGAAACACTCTTCTCTTGAGCTTCAGCACCGCCCTCTTGACACTGATTTATTAACCCTTAACCCCTTAAGACTCATTTCAGACTTCTGATTGTCATAATTGCTAAAATAATAAATTTGTTATTTTTTAAAAATGCTTTTTAATAAAGTGTGATTTGTTCCTTAATTCATTAGAAAAGATGCAAGCACTTAAAGAGACCAAGGCAGTCCTGAGGCCCCATATTCTGATCGTCTGTTCACTAATATAGCCACCTGACCACCAAGAACGCTGTACTATCACTGGCTTCTATTTAAATGTCATTGGTTCACTGAAATGAAAGCTGACTTCTGTACCATGCCTGATCCACTGATGTTAACAAATAATCACATGCCTTATAATTAGGAAAATAAGTCATCTATGAAAATGTTTCTAAAAGAAATTATACATTAATTTTCTTTTTTTGGTACTGGAGATCGAACTCTGGACCTTGCGCTTGCAAGGCAAGCACCAGAAACACTGAGCTAAATCCCCGGCTATATATTAATTTTTAACAGGCTATATTTAATGTCTGACATTTCTGAATGTATATATGTATTTGATTTAAAACAAAATGTGTCAATGTAAATTGATAAAATAACACTCTATTACCTCAAATAATTTGATAGAAGAATAAAATGCATATCTGGACACTGCAGATTTTAATTACAGTACTTCAAATGTATTAAAGTACTTAAAATACATTTTGCTTATATTAAAATTTTATTAGTACATGTTTGCAATACATGCAGTTTAGGCTTATATATTTTTTCTAGCCACAAATATGTTTTCTTCTCTCACTCTTTCATATTTTATTGTAATGGTTCTTCTTTGTGGCAAAAATGTTTAAGAGTGTCAAAATAAAAAACACAGTTACTCTACACTTAAGAGAGTATTTTGAGTATACTCTCAATAAATGAAACCAAAATTCAAAGCATTCATTTATTTGTGTATTTATGATGCTGGGCCTTGCAAATGCTAGAAAACCATTTAAAATATTTACAGTATTCCTTTAAAAGACAGGTATAAAATTCATATTTTTGTGAAATCTATTGCCTTTTTTCAATGTAATGGAAAATAAATTAGTTTTACGTATTTTTGCCTCAGAGATGTAGGATGTATTTGTGACTAAAGTTTTAGATAAAACCGCATTGAGATATAAATTAATGCAATCATAAGTATCATCCCATGGATCCAATGTAAAAAAATACAATAAAAACATCTAACAGTAACTTTTGATATTTGATTATTTTACTCAGAGTGAAAAGAGAACTCACATAAAGTTTATACAGACTCAAAATTTCTCTACTGACTGCTTTTACTGGTTCTACGTTTTTTATTAACATCTTGCTAGGTCTCAACTCTTAGAAGTAAACAATAGGAATTATTGTGGAAAAGAGACCAAATTATCCTAAGTGAGTTCGTTTATTTTTGATGACTTAAAAAGACCATGTGGATACTTGAGAAAACTAAATGTCGCAATTTCTTTGGCAGTATCACAGAACAATGATTTTGAGTATATATTTTGATTTCAATGATCCTTTATAAAGAAAAAACATACTAATAGTGGTATTTTTTATAAAGTAATTTTGGAACCTAAAAATGCATATGAAACCCATTCTTTTTTTCTTAGATTCTGCCTAAGTAAAAGTTTTTAATGGCTTTTCTTCAGTATTCTTAAGTATATGTCAGAAAAATCTATAGGATAAATTTGATAATAGATTTTAGCCCAAAACCTGAGAATGAATAAGCAATCTGGACAATATTTTCTTTTACTCCTTGAGAGCTATGCATGAAAAAACAAAAGAAAGTAAACGTTTAAACTTCTGACATGGCTGAAGAAATGTCACTCACCAACTCATTTAACAATAAATCCTTCAATACCTACCATGTACTAAGGCCTTTGCTAGATGACTTTGTGATAAAAATAAGGAAAGGTAACATCTACTGAATGTTTAACTTGTGCCAGGTACTAAATACCTTATAAATAGCTCATTTTAAGGACAAAGAGTTACAGATGTATTATTTTATGGATGAGCAAGCTGAAGGAAGAACGAGTAAGAAAATTGCTCTCTATTATGTACAACACAGGGCTTCATTATACAACTCCAAGGACGCTATGTGATGGTGTCCCCTAAGTACAACTCCAGGAGCCCTGCTAGATACAGCATCCAGACATCTGACTTTAAATTTCCCAATTAATAAGACAGATGTATCCTGGCCTCAGAACTTAGAGTACAGTATACACACAGAGCAGATAATCAACTAAGATAAGCACACATAACTAAGTGATGTTGGTTTAGAACTAACCCTCTGAGAACCAAGACAGGCTGTGAAGCTCAACACAGTACAACGGTACCAAGGAAGAACAACACAGAAGCTCCTCTTCAGGAAAAAAATATAAAGTCAGAAATGAGTTTTTCCTTTAGAAAGAGAAATAGATTTTAATCAAGAAAATGTTTTCTTGAGTTAGGTGTGGTGGCGAACGCCTATAATCCCAGTACTCAGGAGTCTGTGGCAGGAGGATCCTTGCAAATTTGAGGCCAGCCTTGACTACATAGTGAGTTCAAGGCCAGTCTGAACTACATAGGGAGACTCTGTCTCAAAAAAAAAAAAAAAGTTTTCTTGGATAGTTTATTTTTAAAGATACAATACCAAAGCTAGTAAATTTTGCTTGTGCAAAAGCATTCCAACTGCCAGGGATGTAGCTCAGCGGTGTAGCATCTACCTGGCAAGCTCAAGAACCTGAGTTCGATTCCCGGTACCAAAAAAAAAAGAAGAAAAGAAAAAAAATATTCCAATGCCTGTGGAAAAATATAAAAATATTCTGATATATACTAATTTTTTGTTAGAAGATAATAAAGATCACATATTCCAGGCTTATGAAATATCAATTAGACAACTGCACAAAGAAAAAAAAAAACAAGGGCCAGGGATTTAGTTCAGTGGTTTCCGCCTCCTGCTTTGCAAGCGCAAGGTCTGGAGTTCAATCCCCGGTACCAAAAAAAAAGAAGAGAAAAACAATGACTAGAATAAAAATTAATAGTCATGAAAAATGGTAACAATCGATATAAATGAACAATAAAGCTTCCTAAATTTCAGACTGAAATTACTAGTAGCTGGTATGAGTAACTCCATTTTTCTTACTGCTAAAGCAGAATTTTTAGTCAACAAAGCTTTTCTTTTCTTTGTTTTTGTAGGGCTGGAGGTTGAACTCAGGGCCTCATGCATGCAAGGCAAATGCTCTATCAGTGAGCTACATCCCCATCACTGAGCTACACCCCATCCCTAAACAGTGTTTTTTAAAAAATAAAATCATGTACTTTTAAAAAAGAAGTTAGGGAATTATTCTCTCTTCATTTTCCTGTATAGACAGATATAAATCTGAATCAAAATTGTGAGTTAGATTTATGACAATTCCCCCAAAAGCTTAAGATTTTTCTTTTCTGATGGAAAAACATTTTCATTTCCTCTAGGATAATCAATAAGCAATTTATTTTTATGCCCAATTGGGAGAAAAAGTAATTACTGATTGATTTCATTTTTTCCAAGTTAAAATAAAAGCAGTTACTTTGATTTCAATTGTGAAAACCAATATCCACACAATAAATTTTTTAAATGACAAATTTTCTTAAATTTTAAGTTTCTCCACAATTTGTTTCCCTGTACAATGCACCTTGGGTTAAATGAAAATGACTGCTTTGATAGACTACCTCCAGAGGCAATTAAAGGGTATCATGGTGGTTAACAGAAATATCTCTATTCTCATACTGAAAGTTTTTATCACTCCAATTGTGTAAAAACAATCATATAACTGAAAACATGATTTGCATTAATAAATGACTACAGGTAACACGCACACTAAGACTCTACTTCTATTTTAATTTCATTAGAATGTTTTAGCTACTTTGTTAAAATGGGTGGCACTTCAGTTTTTGTTTGATTTTTAGCATTTTGACAGTTCTGGATTATGCTTCCATTTTTCTTGGTAATCTAGAAACCCTCTTATTACTACCTGGCCTTGGTTTCAAATCTGGATTTGCTGAATGATTTTTAGATGTCTAATTTTGGTTGTTTTTTTTTTTACAATAACAAAACACACACAGCTTAAAAATATCTATTTTTTTAAATTTCTGAGAAAAATACTTTATACATTTATTCTTTCTAAACATAAGTTCTCAACAATTTCACAGGTAAATCTTAGTATAGATGAAATACCAAAATATGCCAATGTTTATTAATTTTCTAATCATAAAAGCATCTTATTAAAGTTATTATCCCAAATATTATATCCTCTTCTGAAGAGCTGCATGGACAAACCAAAAATGCTTGTGAATTATGAACAGTAACAAGAAGATGCAGGCAGCTTCTTAAAGACTCAAAACAGACCTGAATTACCTTTTTGAAAATATAAGAAAACTTTAAGTTTTAAAAGTAACTAATTAAATTGTAACAATCTGTGAATTTAACTCAAAATATACAGCAGTCTTGATGATCCAGAATTTATCCCCCAAAATATATAGCAAAATTTAAAAAATTTGGAAACTATATATATTATTGCCTAAACAGCCATAAAAAATTATATTACCTTTTGGAGAACATCTAAAGCTGTAAGTACAGCTTCCTGTAAACTTGTAAGAACTGCTTCCGTATAAGATGGAAGAATGAAAGGGGATGCATCTGAACTTATTGGGACTGAAACTGCACTGTGCAATATGACCCCCAACTTTTGCAAGTCATCCATGTTGAAACCAGTCTTTATGTGTTGATAGAGAGCTGGAAATATCTGAATTAAAGCTGTAAGAAAAGGCTGGCTGGGAATAAAAGTTAGTTTATCAAAAGTAATAGGAGGCTTAGTACTTTCAGATCCAATTCTATACCAGGTATTCCACGCAGCCCACCAGAGATTCAAATCTTCAAGTTCATCAGTAACTATGGGTAGCTCAGAGCTACTGCATCTCCCCAGTCTTTCTCCAATGGAATCTGTTCTTACAAATGGCCTGCTCAGGCCAGGGCCTGATATGGACCCTATAAGGACAGGCATAGGCACATTAACTACAGGAGGTGTTTCAGGCTTATCTGAGTCTCTAACAGGGGACACAATCTGTAAAATTTCTTGGAAGCTTTTCAGAGCAGCCAGAGATACTTCATTGTTTTTGCTGAGTGCTGCTGATTGTATATGGTCAAGAAGAACATCCCAAGCTCTTGAAAAATCCCCTGTATTAAGAAGAGAGAAAAAAAAGAAAACCAGGAAAGCATAAATGACCAAATTTTCTCTTACTATTAGATATTTTAAAGCATATTTGGTTTATTTTTCTGCTTAAATTCCCATAAAAGTAGAAAAAAATATAACTAGGTATTAAAATACTAACAATATGAATTAAAATCCTCACAATCCACGGGCCGGGGATTTAGCTCAGTGGTTCCGCCGCCTGCCTCACAAGTGCAAGGTCCTGAGTTCAATCCCCAATACCAAAAAAAAAATCCTCACAATCCAGAAATCCAGTTAAATTTTTTTTCAATATAAGGATAAAGGACACTAAGAAGAGGATAATGAATATATCAAACACTGTTTTGGTCTCAAAAACAAAACTATAAATCTAGATATGCAAGTGTATACTATTTCTTAGTACTGCTATTGAACGACAGAATAAAAACTAATGAGCATGAAACAAAAGCTTTTCAGTAATATCTTCAGTCTACCATTATCAACAATTGCATAAAATGTTCTCATTCTTAATCATTAGACTGTATCTAAAATATATAAAGAACTAAAAATATATGGCTCCCAAAATAAAGGACCCAGAAAGTGTAAATAATGACTAAAAGGTATAATAGATAATATGACATAGGAAGAAAAGGGGCAAAGGGGAAGAAGTTGGGAGGGGTTGGGGAAAGGAAAGAAGGGAATGGAATTAATATGAGAAATGAAAACAACATCTTTGTAAATAGGGAGGGATGGAGGGGTTGAAGGGAGGACAGGGGAATGGAGAAAAAAGCAAGAACCAAGAGAGATTATGTAAAGGTGCAAATTTCCAATGATGAATGTCATTATATTGTATACCTAAAATGTACCAATAAAATTAATTTTTTTAAAAAAGGACCCAATCAAAAAATGGGAAAGTGAAATGAATAGGTACTTCACAGAAGTAGTACAACTGCCCAATAAATACTTGAAGAAATGCTCAACAACATTGATCATTACAGAAATGCAAATTAAAACACCACCAAGATTCTATCTTTCCCCAGAAACAATAGCCATCATCAAGAGTCAAATTAACAAGTGCCTGCAAAGCTGTGGGGAAAAAGGAACTTCTTGAACACTGCTGGTAGAAATGAAATCTAGTACAACCACTATGGAAATCAATATGGAGATTCCTCAAAAAACTAAAACCAGAAATCCCATCTGACCTGCTTTTCTCTACTTATATTCCCCAAAGGGTTAAATACATCATATTACAGTGATACATGCATACCGATGTTTATAATAGCACAATTCATAATAGCTAAATCTCTAAAGCACCTTACATATCCATTAACAGATGAACGGATAAAGAAAATGTGGTATTTACACACAATAGAGAACTACTCTACCATTAAGAAAGATAAACCTGAGTTATTTGTAGAAATATACATGCACCTTCAGACCATAATGGTAAAATAAACCGGACACACAATCTTACATATCATAGGGTTTCTATTATGAAATACCCAAATTATAAAGAGAAAAAAAAATTGCGTAAGTTATAACAGCATGATGCATGTTTTAATAGGTCTAAAGATTTAAAAATAAACTGTATGTCAGACTCTATACATTCTTCTTTTTCTTTTCATACTGGGGATCGAACTCTGTACCTTGCTCGAGGCAGGCACCGGAACCACTAAGCTAAATCCCTGGCCCTATACATTCTATCTTTATGTTTTGGTTTACTTAAACATTTTTTTTTTTCTTCATAATAGTGAGTTACCAGGAGAAAAACGTATCATAAAGAATAGGACCAGGGATTTAGCTCAGTGGTTCTGGTGCCTGCCTGGAAAGCGCAAAGTCCGGAGTTTGATCCCCCTACCAAAATAAATAAATAAGCAAACAAGCAAACAAACTGGACTGGAGGTGTAGCTCAGTGGTAGATTTCTTGTCTGCCATGTGTGAAGCCCTATTCTAACCCTCAGTACCAAAAAAATAAACAGACAAACTATCCTTTCACAATGAATTTATTCCTTTCGTATGAAATCAAGCCTACGGATTCAATGTCAGCAGAGCATGGGCTGAATGGAAGCTTCTGGTTTCCACTGATCAATAGACTATGACAGACAACATATTTACAATGAATTGCTTGGGGTAGTCTGTTTCCACCAAGCTCAAAAAAATAACTTTTTTCCTATACCAATCAAGCCCAATGGCTTTGTTAATAATATGGCTAATCATCCACATACTTGTATTACAATTACACAAAAGCCAGAGAAATTGGTATTGTTTTCAAAATAGCTTAATGTAAGCAGGCTATCAAGAACATAAAATAAATACTTGAAGCTGGGTGAGGTGGCACACGCCTGTAATCCCAGAACTCAGGAGGCTGAGGCAGGAGGAACACTGTGAGTTCAAGGCCAGCCTGAACTACATAATGAGACCCTGTTTCAAAAACATACAAACAAACAAACAATTTGAGGTTTAGAGACTTCTAATTTTGCAGAGGCTATGTATGACTACATTTTTTTCTTAAATAGGGAAACTCAAATATCTGAGAAGTATTCAGTTAATTGGAATGCTGAAAGTAAGGCTGGTATGAAATAACTGGTACTATTCCTCCTATTTTGGACAAACATAATACTTGCAGTTTTATTCATCTTTCACTCTATTATTTTTATTAAAAATTAACATAATTTACATACAATAAAAACAGATTTTAAGACTAAATTCCTCACAGTTTTGACAAATTACATCTTTAAACTACCAAATATTTAAACTAAACACTTCTTCCTGTTACCATCATAGTTAAAAAAATAAATCTGATACAACACTACATTTGTCAAGCAGACTGGTAACCTAATCTCAGGCTTGGAATATTCTGTGCCATTTGAAGGTAAAATCCTGAAGTTCTTCCATTGACAAATTTTAAGTCTAGGAAGAAGTTTCTTTGTAAACATAATCCTATTCTATAGTAATTATACAATTTTCTATTCTTCAAATTATAAAAAAATTATCAATGTCACATGAATTGATGTATAAGTTCATTATAGAAAAATCTAAATCTGTTATCTATTGTTTCTTACTTTTAAAATAAATATATTTAAATGATGCTTATTTTATTAAAACTCAGCAAATACATATTTAAAATTTATACATTTCATTGGATAAAAATTTTGGATGTAAAGATAAAATTAAGATTTAAAAAATATAAAGTGGATCACATACCATAAATTATTTTGTGTGGAAAAAAACAACAAAGTATATATGAATAACATATAAAAGTAACTATAGAAAAAATAACTTCCTATCTTTTAACGTAAGGTTTTAAAAAGCCAAACATAAAAAAAAAATTATATTCAACATGGTCACAGCTATATACAAAAGTTACACAACTTTGTTCATCTTTCTCTACTACCCCTAACCCTATTACCAAAATTGAAAGTATTATAATCTTTACCTGCTTTCTCAATATCTGTACTACTGATGTTTTTGGCTGGATAATCTTTGTTATGGTGGATATGTTCTGTCCATCCTTGGGTATGTATCATCATCCCTGCCCATCCAAAATCTGGGAAGGTAATAGCACCCATCCCTTCCCAGGTGTGACAATCCAATATTTTTTCAGAATTGGCAAATGTCTTGTGGGGCATAAAATGGACCTTGTCGGAGAATCACTGATCTGTACCAAAAGTTTCCCAATCAGTCTAACAGTATCCTGTCATCCTTCCTTGCTACCATTCTTTTTTTTTTTTAACCAAAACATTTATTGGTACATTTTAGATATACATAAGGACAACATTCACCATAGGGAATTTGCTCCTGTACATGATATATCTTGCTTCTTTTTTCCCACCCCTTTTTGACCCTTCTTCCCCTTATTTACAAAAGCTTTGTTTCCATTTTTTCCTTCTGTTCTCTTTTTTCTTAATCATTCTTTCCTTACTCCCTCCCTCTCCCTTGTTCCCCTTCTCATTTGAACATTTTCTTGCCATTTCCCAATATTTATTATACATTTTGGCTATCATTCTATTCTAGAGACACGAACAAACCAAAGTTATCTTTTTGAACTGCGTATCTAATTGTATCAAAACATGAATTAAACCTTTCAGTAGCTTTTTCTTTGCCCCTTAGGTTGAAATCCTAATTTCTGCACACATTTTAAAGGGGATGGCTTCTCTTTACCTCTACAACTCATTGGGAATCACACTTTCCCTTACTCTCTTCATTCTACTGCAGTCCTTCAAATATGCTTGGGTCCTTATCAGCCCTCTCTCTTCAATCTTTTGTCTATTTGCCTAGAAGGTTCTCTTCACCTTATCTCTCCTTTGCTTGATGAACTTCTATTTACCCTTCAGATTTCAGGTAAGATAGCACCTTCTCAGAAAAGCTTATTTACCTCTCACTGGCAAGGTCAAATATTTACTCTGAACTCACAATGTATTACACACCTTTGTAGCATTCATCACTGTAGCAATTTTGCATTTATTATGGTTCCACCTTCTTACCCAGGACAGCAAGAACAGCGAGTGGTTTTTTTTTTTGTACCAGGCATTGAACTCAGGACCTTGTGCTTGCAAGGTAGGCAGGGGCACCACTGAGCTGAATCCCCGGCCCAAGGACAGTTAAGTATTTTGTTCATCAATGCATCCCCCAAAGGATACCTGTTATAGTTTGGATCTAGAGTGTCCCCAAATGTCTCATGTGTTCAGTGGTAGGGCTTTTGAAAGGTGACTGGATCATGGAAGCGCTACAGTGACTTGCTGTTAGGAGGTGGGGCCTGGTTACAGGTTGGTTACCGGATATTATGGCTTATATCTACTAGATGTACCCCCAAAGCCCATGCAGTCATAGGTGGGGCTTTTTCAGAGGTGGCTGAATCTAGAGTGTGATGCTGGGATTAAGGGTGGGTGATTACTAAATCAGTCCACTGATTGGTTTGGTACCACCCTAATCCCAGTAGCCTAGACAGAGTATAAAAGGAGCAGAAAGAAACTAAGGTCCCTCTCTCACTTGCCTTTCTACCTTGTGCTCTCCATTAACTATTTTTCCTCTGCAATGCCTGTCTGCCATGCCACCCTGCCTTGGAGCCAGCCAGTTATGGACTGAAACCTCTATAAACCGTGAGCTAAATAATCCTTTTCCCCTTTAACTTTGGGTGTCAGGTGTTTTGTCTCAGTAAGAAGAGAAAAGTAGCTAAGGCCATGTGTGGTGGTGCACACCTATAATCTCAGCACTTGGGAAGTTGAGGCAGAAGTCTGAGGCCAGCCTGGGCTAAACAGTAAGTTCAGGGCCAGCCTGAAAAGTAACTAAGACAGTGGAGGTATGACTTACAAGGGTATATCTCCCTATCTGATGCCTTCTCTCTCTGCTTCCTGGCTGCCATGATGTGAACAGCTTTCCTCCACCAGATCCTTCAACCATACCCTTCCTGCCTTGGAGCCAGCAAACTATGGACTGAGTTCTCTAAAAACCATGAGCCAAAATAAACTTCTTCTTTCAGTTGTGAGTACTGGATATTTTGTCCCAGCAACGACAAAGTGCTTAAGACACCAGTGCACAATAGGTAAGACATTAAAATTTTCTCACTGAAATAATGAAAATGTGCACCCTCATGCATATACCACACACAGTCATAAAGACCATAAATTATGATTCATTGTTCTTGAATAATAACACTATATATGAATTCTAAGAGAATCTTCTGTTCTAAATTTCCTTTAACACAAGTTACTTGCATAATCAAAGAAAGAAAATATATACATACCTAAAGGTTGTAGTAAGTATCTTCTAGTGTTGAAGATTCTGGCTACTCCAGCCAAAGTTAATACCCATGTCTCAGCCCATTGCTTCTCTGCTGTATCCCTTGAGTGATGAATAAGAATATTGCCACCTCCAGATTCAATCTTTTCTTTATCTGCAGTGGTAGAAGATTCTCGAACTTGGTCCAGTAAATGAAAGAGTACCTAAATATTATTAAAATGTCATTTAAAACATGTTGAAAATATAACTTAAGCAAAAACTTAGGAAAAACCAGAAGAAGTTATAAAAAATATACCTGACGATCTTATCATTCCAACATATTAGAAGAAATTGATCAGGAAAGATAATCATATATTCTTAAGTTTATCCTTTTAAGGTCGTGGAAATTGAAAAAGGTTAAGTAAACTGGTTAAAGTAAAAGGTTAAGTAAAAGGTTAAGTAAACTATTTAAGATTTGTTGAGTTATCAAAGGGACAATTGTAGGGTAATGTGTTAAAAAGAAAACAAAGGTAAGGAGAGGGATCCAGGCAAAAACAGAATTATAGGAAATAACTGGATTAAGTTTACACTAAAACTCCAGGATTAGAAAAGGGTACGTAAAAAAAAAAAATCAATAAGCAAGAACTGGTTGGGACTTCAGGAACATTTACATGTAAAGGCAGTAAGAGCAAAAAAAACGACCAAAAAACCAAAAACTAAACAAATCCCAGAGACACAGACACAAACATTGAAACAGAAGTCAAAAGAAGAAAAAATTTCAAGAAGAAAATCACCAACAGCATTAAGTGGTGCCAGAAAATGAGTAGGATGAGGACTGAGGCTAGGCCAAAAGGCTTGGCAGGCAGCTCCCCTTTGGGCCACGGACAATGTCTGTGGTTCTCAGCCTATGGTCTCTGAACCAGCAGCATCAGCATCCTCCAGAAATTAGACTGAAATGCAAACTCTCAGGCTACACTCCAAGAAAAAAAAAAATTAAGAACACTGGAGGAATGGGCAGGAAAGGAGAAGAAATATAAGTGGCTCAGTAACTTGTGCTTTAACAAGACCTCTAGGTGATTCTGTCATACCATGATGTTTAAAAGACTGCGACATTGGGCTGGGGCTCTAGCTCAGTGGTTCCACTGCCTGCCTCGCAAGCGCAAAGACCCGAGTTCCATCCCTGGTACCAAAAAAAAAAAAAAAGACTGTGACACAGAATAATTTCAATATCAAATTACAAGGGATAAAGGAATGTAGGAGATGAGGAAGAAAGAAATCATTGAGAATTAGGCAACAAGAATGGTAAAAATGAAGCTGTCTGAAGGAAAACAGGAATCAGAGAAAATATTAGTTAAAAAGAAAAAAAAAAGGAGCCTTAGGCTTATTTGCGATCTGAGGAGCCAGGGGATACAGCTGAAATAGAAGATGAATTTGAAATATGACAATATGGCAATCTGAAATATGATAAAACCTAAGTGTTTTTCTTTTTAAATACATAAATGTACACATATTCTTCTTTAAAAATTAAAAAACAAGTTTAATTGGAAAAAATATACTGTAAAAGCACATCTCGATTACAAGTTGATAGCTCAAGCTATTTTACAATACCTTCCAAACAACAGTGTGCCAGGTTGAATGTTGTAACAAAGTTCCATGTGCACCAATTGTAGAAAACAGAGTTTGTCCTGCACTCTTCCTGACAGCAGGGCGGGGGTCCACACAGAGTTCACCCAATTTTGCATAAAGACATAACCACAAGCAATCAAATGGTGGTGCAGGGTGGAATGGCCGATTTAAAACCACTCCTTTCTCTTCTGCCTGCTTTTGCTGTGCTGCCTCTTCTTTATTTAATTCTTTTTCAATAGTTTCCCCTCTTTGGAAAAAATAATCTGAAATATTCCACTAAAAGGAAAAGTAGAAAAATATCACTTTATTTCCAGATTTTTAAAAAAACCACATAAGTAATGTGATTGCTTTACCTTCCAGAGTAAAGCTCTAAAATTACTTCAGAAATCTCTTCCCTACTACAACAGATTCAGTGAAAATATTTCTTCCTCTGTCAGTGTTCTGATCTATTTCAGGAGAATGTACGGGAACAATTTTAAGTTTATTTTTTTATTATTAGAAATTTCAAGTATATATAGAAAAACAAGGAGAATGATATAATGAACTTCAATGTATCAATGTACACACTACCTAGATATAACAATATTAGCTATAAAGAACATAACTATAATACCATTACTACTGTAACAAAAGAATTAATTCCTTGGTATAATTCAACAATAAATTTATAATTTCATAGAAAAAGTCAATTACTTTCTTCAAATACATCTATGACTGTGTACCTGTGATAATTATGCCAATGGTAAAAATGTAACAGGATCAATATTGTGAACATAAATGTAATATAAAGGAGGCAATATCTAGCAGTAATTTAACCCTGAACTACTCTTTAGGAGCAATTTTATACATAACAAGCTTATAATTTTTCCATGATTGCATTTTTAATAGGATTATGGTGGGGTTTTTTTTCTTTTTGGTACCGGGGATCGAACTCAGGACCTTGCGCTTGTGAGGCAGGCGCAGTGCCACTGAGCTAAATTCCCAGCCCAATAGTATTATGGTTTAAATATAAAGTGTCCCCCAAAGAATTACATACTGAGGGTGCTATTAGGGCTGAATGGGCTATTAGGAGATGGGCACAGCTGGAGGAAATAGGTCACTGGGAGCATGCTTTTGAAGGATACATCCTGTCCTAATCCACTTACCCTCTCTCTCTGAGTCTCATGATCTCACTCTCTACAGTTTTCTGGCTGCCATGATGTGAGCAGCTTTACTCCATCAGGCCCTTCTACCATGATGTTCTGGCTTACTTCAAACCTACATCAATAGAACCAGCCAACCATGGACGGAAACCTCTGAAACCATGAGCCATAATAAATTTTTCCTCTTCTAAGTTGTTTTCCTCAGGTATTGGGAGCACACTGATAAAAAGCTGACTAATACAAATATTAAAATATTAACTTATCTAGCTTGTGAGGAAAATTTAAGTTCAACTTTATAAAACTTCTCAGTTATAAAATATATTTTAAAGATTCTTTAAAAATTGCCTTTAAATAACATTTGCCACACCATGTGCAAGGCCCTGAGTTCAACTTCCAGCATCACAAAAACAAAAACAACAAAAAAATGGAATAGCTCCTTCTATGCTTACTTCACATAACAGTAACAATACTCTAGCTTAGATTTTTATTATTCTATATTCAAGATATTTAAAATGAGACTGAAGAGGTCAATAATTTAAAAAACTAACAAGAGTCAAACATAATTAAAATAAACTTCCAGAGCAGAGTCTTCTACTATAACATATTGTCTCTTAATACCCAATATTAAGTTGACAGGACTATGTAAATGTTTAAGACTTTTACTGAAGCTTTATTTACTACACAAATAGTCTACAAAAATAAGTTATTAAAATTATATATAAAATCAGCTAATCTTCACACTAAAGTGAACTAGTGATTTCTCTTGTACATACTATTTGCTTACTCAATCCATTTGAGAAAGCTTGTCAAACTTCAGCTACATATGTCAAAATTATTCCAAATATTCTGCAATTAATCAACTCTTCCTTAAATTACGTTATTTAAATCTTCATGAAAGATTATGTTTGGTACTTAAAAATTATTTTAAAATTTTCCATATAGCCTAAACCATATTGGCTTGGCATTCTCTCACAACTGAATTAACAGCAATTTTTACATTATATTATTGAAAGAAAGGCAATGATACTTACTAATAAACCTATTGAAGTTAAACTAATATTAAGTTCTTGGTTATGAAGTCCAAAGCTACCTGCAACATCTACAACTATCTGCAGGCAAGTGCAAGGCATTGTTGGTAGAAAATCTGTAACAACCAACTGAAGACACTGGAATGCAGTTCGTATCAAGGATTCTCTGAAAACACAAAAGAAATATATACTGATAGATTTAAAAGAAATGTGTAAAAGTAAACACCTTACAATAATTTGTATGTATGTACGTATGTATGTATTTATTTATTTATTGGTACTGGGAATCGAACTCAGGTCCTTGAGCTTGCGCAGCAGGTGGCGAAACCACTGAGCTAAGTCGCCGGCCCAATAATTTGGTTTTTAAAATTAATTTTATTGGTACAATTTAGATATACATAATGACCACATTCATCACAGGGAATTTGTACCTGTACATGATATATCTTGATTCCTCTTTTTTTCCTATTCCTCTCCCTTCAACTTCTCTTCCCCTCACCTTACAATAATTTGAACAATGCAAATTTTTAAACTTTAGTAAGAAAATCCTCTCTAATATACATCACATAGTACTTCAACATTTATCTAAATGTAAAAAAAATACTTAAACAAATTAAATAAAAATTTAAAACCTCACAGGTAATGATCAATAAAATTAGGTTAAAAAAAGGAAAAGAAAGTGTTAGTACTACATTACTTCTATTTGCATTTTGCACCAACTAACCAAAGAAAACTGAAGATAATGAGTAAGAAAGGGAAATTGGCTATAGCTACTTTTCCACCACTGTATCCATATTTTACATGGTTTCTAGCACATGTAAAATAAACAACATTTACCTAATTCATGAAAACAAGTTCCTCATTCTTTTATATCTGTACTAAATCTTCTTTAAATCTCCAAAGGAATGCAAAAGTCTACATCTAGTTGGTAAGATGAGTAAACTTTGAATTTCAAATGAAAGAAACTTGTTCTGGAGAAAAATTTTGTTAAGTAATGAAACGCACAAGTATAACTACCACTTATTGGTCACTCAATATGTCATATACTAAGTGTTGCACACATATTAATTCATTTCATCCTTAAAACAATGCCCTATTTTATACATTGCATGCAAGTTGAGAAAAGCAATTTCAACTTGATCTAAGACAATATCTTTTTAATAATCTCAATATTTTATAATATTTAAGGAAATTTATTGTCACAAATATTTAAGAAAAATTTAATTTTCCTCAGTAGTCTCAAGCAGCTCAATCATTTAAAACCCCTATAGTTATGCTATAAAATCCCAATAAGTGTCTTATTGCATCACTGCAGATAAATATAACCAACATCTATTAAATATCTCCACTAGTACTCTACTGTAAATTAAATATATATGTCCCCTCTAAATTTGTTCTTTCTGTATTCCCTATTTAGTTAGTGATATCAACAACCACTAAATTGCCTAAGTCAGGAATCTAGGAGTCATTCCTAATTGCCATTTCTCCATCTGCCCCTACAGCCAATCTGTTAAATAGCTCAAATGGATGTCCTGCTATTTCTAAAGAGCACTCACAGGCTTTTTCGTTTCATTCTCTCCCCTCATTCTGCTGTCAAATGCATATCTGATCACACCATTCCTCTGCTTGAAAATCCTAAAATGCCCCCCAAATGTATTCAAGATAAATTCAAGTAGCTTATAAAAGCATACAAGGTCTTTTGTAATTTTGGCTCTGCCCTCTTCCCACTGGAGCCTTATTTTGTGGCATAACAACTACCACTTACTTGGATTCTGCTTCTAGTCTGTGTACTCAACATAGCTACCAAACGTACTATTTGGAACACACTAAGCAGAGAATAAATGTTTAATAAATAAATGAATAAAAAAGTCATTTTAAAGCAATTTCTTAGATTTTCTAAGACATATGAGGAAGTAATGCCCCTAAATGCCATTTTATATCTTACCAAATATTTAACACAACAAAATTCAGTCTTTAGATGTGTTTTAAAATTTGTTAGATTGGCTTATTACTGTCAGTAAGAACTCTGTATTTTAATACAAATGTCAAATAGCAATTTTTCCAACTTTTTAAGATAAAGGTAATACCTTGTATTAAGGTAATATCTAAAAGTTCCATGAAACCACTGGGGGTAGGGTTAAGAAACATTAAAGATCCTGGACTTAAGCAAGCAGGAAATGCATAAAACTTACCACTACTACAAGATTTTAGATGGATTTGCCTTCTATCTTTATTACTTTTGGGGTATTAATTTCAAACACTTACCCTTGATCATTTCTAATTGCTCCCATGACTCCAAGAACTAAGGGCCAACCAGGCCCAAGACTGTCTCCCTGGCTCTGCAGAATCTGCAACACACATTCTAATTGTTTGAGTCGTATATCTGGATGGTTAATATTGGACATCTCCTTTAATGGGTTCAATAAAAGCAATTGCAGCCTCTGAAAGGGGGCAAGAAACTAATTAGGAAGAGAAGCACAAAAGAACAGGAAGGTTTTGTTGCTTTTTAAAAAAAAATAGTGTTTCACTATGTTGCCTACGCCGATCTCAAATCTCAGGTGATCTCCCATCTCAGCCTCCTGTGTGCTTGAAGTAGAGGCACATGCTGTGCCCAGCTTGTTGCTTTCTAGGTTTAAATTCACCTCCACTCAGACCACCAGGGTAAACGGGAAATTTTCTATTAAAATAAGTATTGAGTATGATTTCTTCAGCATTAATCATTACAGATTTATTTTGTCATCTATCTCTATCTTTATATAAGAGAGAAAAAGACACTCAAGACATTAGGTTTCAGAAAAATAATTACCTTACTTTAATAGATATTAAATATAGAACCATATAGAAATGAATGTCACTAAAGGAAATACATCTCTAGCCATATATCACATGTATTAAAGTTAAAATTCTCAAGTGTGATGTAATAAGAGCTATAATATGTGTAAAAGATGAGTAAGTATGCCAGACATTAACAAAAAGGATATAAAACCACAAAATTTGTTGAGGAGAAAAAAAGAAAAACTCAGTTCTAACTCTTCCAGCATCTGAAAGTACCTGCTTCATTTTTAACTTCCTCCTCTCTAAGGATTCATTTATTTTATTCACTGACTAAACAAATATTTATTAAGCTCTCATTATGCACCGAGTATTACAGTGGACATTGAAGACACTACAGTAAATGGACAAGGGTTTTCACTTTTAAAAACCTCAAATTATAGTAGGAAAAAATATGAAATCACTAAAACATAAGCTCTATAAGGGCACTGAGCTCTTCTGTCTTGTTCATCACTTTGTCCTAAGAGCTATATTTGATAATTATGTATTAAATAAATTTGCAGAATACAATTATGATGCAGTAAGATGATAAGGACAATGGAAATTATTATTAAATGCCTCATTCCTACTCAGTGATCAATCACCAAAACTTTGGTGGAATTTTCAAACTATGTAAGATATATGTGAATGCCAAAGACCGGACAAAGAACTTATGACAAAAGTGAACTCTGAAAGCATAAAATAACTTTAAATAATTTAAAAATGAAAATCTATTTTATTGTGCATGCTATTTCTGACATTTGTTTTCTCCTCATGTAAGGGCCAGTGAGAGAAAAAAGTTAGAGAGAAAAAAGTGCATAGTGAGGGCTTAATAAATATTTGTTTAGTCAGTGAATAAAATAAATGAATCCTTACAGAGGAGGAAGTTAAAAATGAAGCAGGTACTTTCAGATGCTGAAAGGGATAGAATTGAATGTTTCTTTTACTCTCATCAACAAATTTTGTGGTTTTATATCCTCTTTGTTAATGTCTGGCATACTTACTCATGTAAGGACCAAAGCAAAAAAGATCTCCTAAAATGATGCCTTTGTATCTCATCAAGAAGGAAACTTGCAGACTTGAAAAACAATGGTAGATAATTAACTGTTATCATTCACAAAAGATTTAAGTAAGACAAACAGTCTACATACAAAATAGACTAGTAAGTTTTACAGAATCCTCTATTAGAATGTCAATTATTTGATAAATTAAGAAAAACTTACTTAGAGGAGGAGGATTTTATATTAAGTATTCTTTTTACCTGGTTCTGTGAAAGTGGAGGATCATGGTTAAATGTTAATCCTGCTTTAATAAGTGAAGTTAAAGCTTCTGCTCCCCATTCTCTCATTCGAGAGTTTGGATGTTGGCAGACCTGATGGTACATATGTTGAACAAAAATTAAATATTTACATTGTATACATAAGCTATGAGTCATACATCAATTTGAGAAAAGCAAAATTAAAACATTACATTTTGTTTTCACATTTTAAAAATTACTTCATATGTTCATAAGGGTCTGAAAAAAAATTCAAAATGTCAGTAAGCTTACCTTCTGAATAAGGTCAAGAGGAAGCAATAGAAAGAAGACAAAAGAAAAAAGATGAAACTAAAACAGGTCACAGAATTTCAACAGCAAAGGATATATCAGAGTAAACAAAAGAAGCAAGCAGATTTGTTTTTTGTTTTGTGGTACTGGGGACAGAACCCAAAGTCCATGAACCCATGTTAGGCAAGAGTTGTATTAAGCCTTAGTATTAAGGTTCTAACTTAGTTCATAATCAAAGACTATGGTAAAAATTTTAAAACCTTATTTGTTGGCATTTGATTAGATGGGCCAATAATAAAAGAATTTGCGTCTATTTTTAAATATCTTTGTTTTTAAAATAACAAAATGACCATTATAAGCTAAAACTAAACTGTATACAAATACATGCATTAACAGAAGCAGTTGGTTATTAAGTAGCAGCTAATTATTAAGGGTCACCCCAAGTTGAATACAAGATAATATAAATTCAGATAAAATACCCTGGCACTAATTAGTGATACCAACAAAGTTTCCCTCATAGTTGTACGAAAAGCTGTAAGTAGTGTTCGTTGCTAATTCTCATCCCCAACTGCCCTTTAGTTTCAGAACCTCAGTACTTGAGACTGAGGTGAATCAAGAGACTGTATAATGAAAGAAAGAGGTCTCAAGCTGACAAATGATTTCATTGAGATTTCTCACTTTAAAATTTTCACCTACTTTCACCCAATAAAAACAACTACTGCTTCACCTAACCGATTACTACCGAACTTTAGTCCTTAATAAAACATACAGACTTAAGTACAAGTTCAGGAAAGGGAGCCTAAGAAAGGTTATCTGGAATCATTAGTTAAATCTGCACTTCTTTAGTAATAAGAAATTCAATATAATATTTAAGTATGAGAGTTTACCTCAAGTAAATGGCCAGTTAGAGGGCGCCATAAAATTTCTATTCGGTGCATATTAACTAGGCCAGTTTCTAACAATTTGGCAACAGCAAAAAGAGATGGTTCCTAGGGGGAAAACATATTGCGTTTTAATATTATAAGGAGAATTCTTAACATTTTGAATGCAAATAAAACTGAGAATATTCTGAAGAGCACAGCTGTGATTAAAATGATTCATTAGCATATATAAAGTTAGCAATAAACATAACAAAACCTGTTATCTCAAGACAAGCCCTTCTGCCATCTTTAAGTATCCAGAATAGCTCCTAACTAGAAAATTTTTTTAGGAAGAGAATGTTTTAATAGTAACAGAATAAAAATCCAAAAATTATATCTGACACGGAGAATATCTAAATTAGAGTACTTGGTCTGAAGATCTAAAACTCTAAAGATTTTTAAATTCTTTTTTTTTTCTTGTATTAAATTCTTTTATTGGTACATTGTAGGTATACAACACAATTACATTTCTCACTGGGAATTGTACCTTTACATAATGCATCTTGGTTCTTATTTTTTCCCCATTCCTAGCCCTCCC